ATATCTTCTGATGCCAGAGATGTACTAGTTCTACAGCAATCCCTACAGTTTTTCTAGAGAAAAAAAAACTATATAAAATACAAGTTTACTGTAAAAGAGCAAGGGTTACTAAAATATTTCACATCTTCATAGACCAAACTTATTTTTATTACTTTGCCAGTTTACTACATTTTTCAGTCCAACAAAATGATTGTCCCCCTGGTTTCATGCCTTGTGTACAAAAATTCCAGCAAGACTTTCAATAGTCAGCATCCCTTTCCAAGTTTTTCCTGCACTGCTGCCTTCCAGCTGATCTGCGTTAGGGAAGCGCAGTGAGCCCAAGACTGCTGGGTGTCTTACAACGGCAAGCTACAGCAATCTAATTATAGAGTTTCAAGAGCTACATGAAACAGACATTATTTCTGGCACTGTAAGTAATGGATCAATAACCCAAAGAACAATTTGCTTTAAAGAAAACAGCCTACCCACACAGTGGAATCATTGTTTAGTTGAACATCGCTAATATACCCAGATTATTCTGAGGATCATCTCCTTTCTAAGGGCTACATGCACTTCTTACATTGGAAATATGAATGTATATAAAACTGCTCCTCTTAAAATTTTCAGGTTTTTAACTTTTGAGTACCTCTTCAACATCCAGATCTTTTACTATTTTCTATTCCTGCAGCCTGGTTTGGTAAGAGATTTACAGAAAAGTTATCCCAATTTTTTAGCCTGTGCATGAGTGATAAGGACTAGTCATAGCTTTATGATGAAAACCCAAGAGAAGATATATTAAGTAGATAGGTATGTAGGGAAAACCCCTCAAGCCTATCTGGAAATTTTACAACTACAAATAACCACAAACATAACTCTTAACATAGTCTAATCTAATTCTTAGCATAGATGCAGAACTTACTCTATTGAGAAGCCAGTTACTGGAAAAGTGTAGTTCATATTAGTTCCACTGGGGAAAAAAAAAAAGGCAGCTAGCACTTTTGTTTGGACAGATCCATGACTACACTATAGGTTTTATCAGGTCAGAAACACTGGTAGTATCTAATAATTGCTAGGGCAGCTAATCATTCCAGTGAAGATGTGCTGCAAAAGACATAAATTACCATACTTCCAGACTCTTCATTTTGAGAGAAAGGGCACTTCTTGATTTGACACACAATATACTTACAATGAAAGCATTAACAGCAAATAACTAATACCACACTCATCTCTGCAACTAAAGCAGCACTACAACTGTTTCCCTCTTAAAAGTACAATTCCCTCCTTTTTCACCACGTCTTCAGAAAATAGTAGAATGTTTTTGCAATTGTCCTCACGTACAAAAATATAGAAATTAACTGGTTTGGCAGAGAATTGCAGGAATGTTCCTGTCAAAGCTGCACTCTATTCCCCTCCCTCCCATTCACTGTTATGCATTTACGATAAAAAAAATCATGGAACTTCATCACAGTAATCATTAAATCCATCACACAAACATTAACTTGCTCAGAGCCACAGAAATACCACATCTCCCATGTGTGATATCATCTGCATTAAAAAAAATGGCTGAATCGAGCCACCTCTATCTGGTGCTGCCTGTCAGTACACTCACGTGACCAGAGAAATATTAAATAAAAGGGAAGAGACGGAATTAGTTACCCTGGAAAAAAATCTTTTAATTTTTACAAAAATGGTTGTCAACTTTGTTCTTAATTTTTCCCCCTCTGCATGTTTCTCTTAAGGGCAACTGTATATAGAAAAGGAACAGAAATGCAAGTACTTTGGAGAGGAAAAACCTCAAAAGACAGGCAATAAGCAAGGGCAGAAGCACAAGGGGAAGCATACTCCCTGTTTAAGAGTTCAAGTAAACAGAAATCATTTCTGATGCTAAGAAACAGCAATATAGAGCTGTATCAAGTAGCAAAATTAATGCTTTTAATAACCAAACACTGCTTCGCTTCATAGTCCTTGATGTAGTATCTCATGAGCTCTGCAGGGTTATTCCAATACTTCTATTCTTCAGTCAACAAATATGATTATGTGCAACACCCTAATGAAAAAAATCACTGAGCGTGAAGAGGAGAGCACAATGAAACACGATGTCAACAATCACTATGGCTATACCAGTCTGCACACAGAACAGTGCTGCAGAGTGGAGCTTGGCGGCTTGGAACTGACAGAAAGAACACATGACCCAAAAGCACAGCAGCACGCACACAAGGATGAGGAACAAAGTACTGCCAGTTAAGTTACACCAGCATCAGTGAAAGCTGGGGGTTATTTTTCTTTTCACGAAGGAAGGTCTATACTAAGTAAACTGTACAACCTACAACATGAATTAAGATTTACCATTACCGCACCTGTATACCGGCTACAACTCCACCTTATATTAGTAAGTGCACACAAAATGTCACAGTTTCAGTGTCAGACTAACGTAAACAACTGTGTGTGAAACGGCGTCCTACTGTGACCCTCACGATCTTCCTCACGCGTTTGTTCCCACTACAAAAGAAATCGATTGCAGAGTAACAGCTGCCTCCCTTAGGCCAACACCCCCGGCTCTCCCTGTGGTAGACGGCCCATACCCGGAACCGGCAACGGAGCTCCGCGAGAGGCCGCGGGGCGGCCCCTTCACCCTCGGCCAAGGCCTCGCCTCCAAAGGACCGAGCTCGGGGGGTTGAGGGGGAGCGGGGCCCTCACGCAAGGCCCACGGCGACCTACGAGCGGGGGACGGAAGGAGGACTGGAAGCAGCAGCGCCGAGACCGGCCCCACAGGGGCAGCGCCCGCCCGCCTCGCTCCAGCGGCCGCAGGCGGCGGGGCCGCCCGCGAAACTCCACCGCGGCTCGCCGCCGGCAGAGCGCCGGGCACGGGCGGCCACCGCTCACGGGCCGGCCCCGGCGCCTCGGCCTACTTATTCCGCCAGCACCCCTCGGGCCGCGGCCCCGGGCGGACTCACCAAAGGGCTGCCGGTGCCGGCCATGGCCCGCCCGGCCTGCGAGCCGCCCCCCACGCCCGGACTCACCAGGGGGCTGCCGGTGCTGGCCATGGCCCGCCCGGCCCGGGGTCGCTCCCCGCCCGTTCCGCGCCCGGCGCTCAGCCCAGCCCAAGCCAAAGGGGCACCCGCGTCCCCCGCCCGTGACGTCACCACAACAATCCCCCCGCGGGCGGGACTTCCGCGCGCCCCATGCGCTCACTGGGGGCCGCAGCTGCTGCTCACGCGCAGGCCGAGACAGGGCAGCCCCGGCAGCCTCCGCGCCCGACCCGGATTGAGCATGCGCAGTTGTAGGGGGGACGCTGTCAGACGTAGCGCTAGGTGAGGGCGGAAGAGGGCGGGGCCGCCCCTCGCCCGTGCGCTCACATCCGGCTTCTTGCCACGACACCAAGGGAGGGGTTGGCGGTGACGTAACCTCGCGGGCGGGGCCCCGGGAGCGCAGCCCGAGGCTGGGGGCGTCGCCGCGGCGGCTCCGGGGCGGGCCTTCGCTCTGGGAACTGGAGTTCCCTCCCGCGGCGGTTCCTACAGGTCTTTGTGTGTCCCGTGGCCCCCACGAGCTCGCGGGGCCCTTTAAACGGCGCCCTGTCAGGCCATGTGTGAGCGTCGCCCCGGCCCGAGCCCGCCGGACCTAGTGGGCACCCCGCCGAGCACGCCATTGCAGTGGACAATTTGAATTTGTCAGGGAGTTCATAGCATTGTGAGGCATTACTCAAAAGGATGAGGCAGAAAAGGACAAGAGCCAGCTTAGATCAGCTTTCCTGTATAATTTTCTCGTCCTTTTCTTCAGCAGATGAGTAGAACAACTGATAGTAATCTTCTAATAGGTTGGACGCGTGAGTCAGTAGGGGTGTGTAGTTTATTATTTATTGTAAGCCTACCTTCCCTCATTTTCAAACTGTAGTTACATTTTAGGCCTCTCAGAGAAACTCTGCCAAGTAGCAAAAAGCTTTTGTGTAGCTTAGGGCGTTAATGCTGTAATTGTAAAATTTGTGGCTACTGAACGCTGCTCCTCAAAGAGATCCTCCTGGTCAAAAGGCAGATTCTTTAACATTTCGTCTGGCAAAAATTTTTTCTCCTATTTTGGCTCCGACTAGATAATATCATCATGGTCCACACAGCTGTGGGGGAGCCCAGCTGGTTCTGGGCTCTCTGTAAACTGAGATACCGAAGATGGAACTTCTTACACCTGGCAGAGGGTTAACCACGGACAGTAGGACTGTGACACAGAGTGGGTTTCCTGTTAGGAATGTTAACCTGTTGTGTTAAGACATGTGGCTGTGTGTCCAGTCATGAGTTGTTATGTTAGTGGTAAACCAATGCTGTGTGTACATGTGTTACCCAGAACTGTATAAAGGTAGATACACTGTTGCAATAAAGCAAGCTAGTATCCTGAAACCCTGTCGCCTTCCTGCCTCGACCGCAACACACAGCAGATTGACCAGTTGGATTTATGTTTGTTTATGTCCTTGCATATTTTTATAAGGCTCAAAAAGTATCAGGCTCATCATAGAACTAGTAAAATGTATGAATTGCACAGAGCTAAGTTTACAGCTATTTTAAACATTACACGACATAGAGTCGTCAATGCAAAGAAAGGAAGCAACATGTATAGGATTTTCTGTGTCTAGGACAGAAAGTAAATCTCTAGATATACAGCTCAGAAAGGCTGTACCTGTTGTGCAGTTAGACAAAGGACTCATCACCCTGGAGAGCCAGCAGGCCTGGCCTGTATTGTAATTAAGTAAGCCTCGTGTGCTGTTCTTGCTTTTCATCTTTCTCCATTAGATCAGCCTAGCTACTTAACCTTGAGATAAATTTTTGTTAAAATCAAAGCAGTACATGAGGCTTAGTTTTTGCAAAATAAAAAGTTACAGCCATTCACGATAATAAACACCAAGGTCCACTGTCTGATGATCTTTAAATAGAGCAATTACAAATTCTGATCAAATCAGGAACCTCTTGAAGTCATCAGTGCATTAAGAAGCAAAATTACACCTTTAGCAAAAATAGTTTATTATTATTCTATGAGGAATTAGGCACAGTTTTAAAAAATGATGGAGTTTAAATTGTGGTTCATCACATTGCAAATATTGCTGCTTCCAAGAAGCATACAATTCCGATAGCTCTTCCTGAGGAAAAACAGCAGGTCTGCTGCTGCCTCCTTAGACCAGGGGGTTACTGGACCTCTGCTGCCAGGAGGTTAATTTAGGGAAGGGCATAGTAATGTGTCTATGAGGCAACAGATGTTGCTGGAGTCAGGCTTTGCCATGCCTGTAGGGGTAGTATTTGCTAGCCAGAGAGCTCGTTCACAATCTTTTTCTGAATACAGAAATTGAAGATTTTTAAAATTATACATGTTTGCAATTTTCTGCACAGTCACCATTTAAGCCACTTGGGAAGACAATGTTGGGAAGTGAGAGAAGAGCACAAGAATCTTTGTAGGCAGTATTCCTCAGGGAAGGTCACTGATCATTCTGATGTTTGACAAGACTATTTCCATCGGAGAGCTTCAGTAATTCAGCAGGAATCAGACCTCCTGTGGTATCATTGTCACACAAGGTGCAATAGTCACTAGCACTGAAGGACACATCTTCTATCTCCAAAGATTCATGAAGCATAGGAAAGCCACCCTTTCCATGCTGTGAGTGAGAGAAATAATTCCTTCCCATGCAAGGGCTCTCAAAGTTGTCTTTAATTATTTCAGAGATTTTCAGGCCAACTATGTCATCAGCATGGTTTGGTGCAAACAATAGTCCTGGCCTCACTTCTATCTCTTCAGCTCTTACGTATCTGCTGGGGACATATTGCTGGCTTGGACCTGGGGCAAATACAAGTTTCTCTTCTGCAGCAACCAGATTTGTGCTTTCCATAGGTTTCCAGGAGATCTGGGAAATCAGTTCCTGGGTGTTTAGATCAGAAACTCTATCTGCAGTCACTTTGCCTGAATTGCTGGCCTCTTCTCTTCCAAGTTGGCTACAAGCCTCATTAGGTCCAACCCAGTCCTAGTGAAGGGATCAACAAGTTTGGGTCATTTTTCATAGTTATTCCAAAATATTCTGTGTATATGGCTTTGGCAAAATAATCCAGAGGTTTAGTGCAAATCTAACAGGCCAAGTTAGAGCAATAGGGTAGAGAATCTAGCTGCTAATTTCACAAAGCTTTACAAGATTTCACCTCCAAAATATAATACGAGCTACTTGTATTGTTTTGGCTTTGAAAGGACAGGATGCACCTTTTAGGTTCAGCCAGAGTTCAAAGTGACTAGAGGGGTTCTACTTCTAAGGAGTAAGAAGTTGGACAGGAGCTCTGCTGGTCAGCTAGTATGTGGAAGCAAGAAATTGAGAAACTGTAAATTCTCAGGAAGACCAGAACCACCTGTCAATAGCTCTACTCAGGAGCTAGAATGATTAATCCCAGGAAAAAAAATCCTCCCATCATGAACTGAGGATCATAAGAAAGAAATTAAACTTATTTCTTACCTTGAAGTTCCCATTGTGCAAACTATAGAGTGGCTGAAAGAAAGCAGCTGGCGTGGGAATGTTAAAGCAGGTGAGACTTTTTGCCCTAAAGTGAGAAAACAACTCTTAAAAAACCCAGAAAATTTTTCTGTATTCTGTATCCATGTTACTGATTGGATGCAACCCTCACACTTATCATGATTTCTGACATCTCATGCAATCGTTTGTCTGCTACCTGTGCATGCATTTAATGTTTTTACCTGAAGCAGTCTTAAAAGTTTCTTAGGAATATCCACAAACTTATTACTGGTCTATTATTCGTTATATGCAGCAAGCTGTTGAAATATTTGTTTATCAACTTCCTTGATCTAAACCACTGTTTCTGGAAGCGTTTTAGAGAATTCTTTGATTTTTTTTTCATGGCTGGGCTTCGCAAACTAAGATTGGAGAAGGGCTCTACCCACGCTTGCTACAAGCGCACTGATGGCTAAAAAGACTAATGCAAGATAGACAAGTCCAGTTGCAAAAGGCACACCAGAAAGACTCCCTAGGTGATATCGACAAGATGCGATTCTTTCTGCGCTGTCTTTTCTCCTCGAGAGTGATCCTGTGTGTGTTCTCAAAAGAAGAAGAAAGAAGACAGAGAAATTCTGCCAGACATTCTTGCCATTTATTAATGCCTATCCTGTAAAATACTTTATCACGTTTTGTCAAATATTCTGTTTCTCTAAGAACAATGTGTGTATGGAGCATAATAATGTATGTCAAGGCAGAAAAAAAAAGAGGTAGGAGATTTGCTGTGGCAGCATAAAACATGGCAGAAGATGGTTGAACCAAGGTTCTAAACCACTTTGTTCTCTGTAAGCTTGATCTCAACTGAATCTGAGTCAGTCTAGCTTGCCTACATTGGTATTTTATGTACTGACTGCTGCCAGGTATGTCACAAGTAGCTTAACATTGACATCAGTTTAACCACCTTTATGGATTGCTGTGTACTTGCACTTTTAATGTATCTGCATGAAGCTTAACAAAAAATTTCCATGGCTTTAAATTTCTTTAACTCCAAGAGACCCTCATCCATGAGTTTGAGCTGAGTTTGGGAGTCACAAAGATACTTTGGTCTCCTTAAGGACTGTATAGTGAGTCATTAACTATCATCAGCCAAGGAATATGTCATGTCCCACGATTGTCAAAAGAGCTTTTGAAAATGACTGAGCTTGTGCAGGAGAAACAGGAAGGAAAAGGGATATAACAAACTCTTGATTTATCCTCTTCAAGCCATAAAGATCAAGGGGAACTTAATGAAAAACTATCACATACCTTGAAGAAAGCTTACAGTTCCAGAATAAATAGAGTAGAGTGCCAAAACTCAGAGGAATGAACAAGAGCTGCATAGTGGTATTTAGAGTCTTCTCAGACAGTTTTGGTAAATCTGGGAAAAGAGTCAGCACAAAAATTTTTAACAAAAGTCTGGAAATCAAGATAGAACTCCAAATAACCAAGCAATGTAAATGAAACAGGCTGCTAAAGTCCCCAAGGAAAGTAATTTGGCTATGAATACTTGAAGAAAGCTAGTTTGGTTTTGAAAAGCTCCATTTTACCACATATCTTCCTTTTTCTGGAACGTGGACATGAAATGAATTAAGATAAAAACAACATTCTTTGTACCTGCTCTTTGAAACACTGTTGTCTGGCTCCACTCACTCCACTGACTGTGGTAGGAATTCTCATTTTCGGAAACTTTGCAGCGAACTCTTGCAATGTAAGCAATGCCACTGCGAAGTTCTGTGGCTTCAATTTCTATCTGTGGCAGTGAACTGGATGGTGTCTTGTTCAATGCAACCTGCAAAGTATTACAAAGCATTTCTGTTGACGAGGCTGGGCAGAGGGATGGTCTTTCAAATACTTTTTTTGTTATTTTTTTTCCCTTTTCCAAATCCTCTTTTCTTAGATGCAAGAAGAGGACCTGCATGAGGATGGGTGACTTATGAATGTAGGGGTCATGAGAAGAGTTATTGATCTCCAGAACTGATTTATATAAAATCTTTCAGACTTGATATGGGAAACCAGAAAGGCCAGCTTAAAAGAGTCAGCTGGCAGAGAGCCCTGAGTTGATTGGCAAGGCTGTAGTGCCCAGAGAGCAAGGCAGCATCACTGTGTGTCTCAGCCAGTTACCTCCCAGGACATGCTGTACTCCTTATACTGCAATTCATATTGGAGGATTTCAACGAGGTACCAAGGCACATTCCACACACTCCACCATATCTGACACTTGCTGGCAGTGGCATTGCTCTGGAGGTTCAAAGGTGGATCAAGTTTTACTGTAAATAGAAGAGGCAGGTTTTTTCACAATATTTGGAACATCACAAAAGGAGATGCATGATACCAGACTGACTAAAGTCTTGGAAGATAAAGCTGGGTCCAAAGAGTGATACTAAGACCAGAAGTAAACCAAATTAGTTTACAGGTTGGATCAGAGCAGCTTCAGAACTGAGATAAATTAATGATAACTCCAGCAGTCTCTGGGGATAATCTTGCAAGCGAAGAACCACTCTGGGTGTCACATTCTGCATTAACAACATACCACTGATATAGACAGGCTCTGAGATTTCAGATACTAGAGCATTTCTCTGAAGTACCAGGCCATGGGACATTCAATTAAATCCATTACTTTGATTTCTCATTACATAATTTCTCAGGGAAAAGTAAAACAACAAAGCAAATAAACAATTGTGACAATATAACTGTAAATTATCTATGGCACAAGAAAACATGATGCAAATGCATCATGTATTGTTGAATCAGCACTCTCTAAAGTCCTGATAAGGTCAGAATGGAGAGACTCAGGGATTGCCTCCTCACTACTACAGTCCACACAGCACACTGTCCAGGGATGGGCAGTCTGGCTTGTTTTCATTGTTTCCACTTGCTGTCTTTGAGACACCCTTTGTTAGAGAGCATATCAGACCTACCGCAAAGCTGCTGGGCAGAGCCACAGCTCATGACTGTCCTCGTTCGTACTTACTGTGCTTGCGGGGATTGTACACTGGAAAGGTAACGTGTTTGTGATTACGTCCAAAGAAGTTTCCTTGGAGTGAGACTCTATAACCATCTGTTTCCAAGATTTGGCTGGCTAAATGAATTGTGCAGTGGTACTGATTCTGCATGCTCTCTGTGGCAGTCAGTTTGCAGCTGGCGTTGTGGCCCTTTGACCAGAGGCTAGAAGAATAAAAACGCTGAAAGTTTCTTTTAAGTCATACAAAGAAGTGTTTTTTCAATTCGTGAAAAACGTGGCAGCTTAGCACAGCACCACACTCTGGAAGACCATGAACATCTTTAGTGCAGAGAGCACGGAAAGCAATCCTAAAGCTGGCCGGATAGTAGGGTTGAATAGGGGGGAAGGAGATGCCTTCATAACCTCACTGCTGAGAGCACAAGACCTCCAGGAGTTGCATACAGAGCCCATTATCTGCTCCCTCTGAAAGTGAGAGGGCTGTATGCCATTGCCAGGAAAGCAGCTGGGTAGGGGGGAAGAAGTGGGCGGACAGTTAGTTATAAGTGCACAGCACAGAAGCAACAAGCTGTACATTAAGGTCTCTTGCTAGGAACAAACACCAGTGCTGAGAGCAAAACATGTTGGAAGTTGGTTTGTTGTTTTGTGATTTGGCCATTTATTAGCAAATTTTTCACTTTGCATGTGATCCCACAAGAAACAAGGATATCACAGTTTATCAGCTTCGCATTTCTTCGTAGATGTAAACCCCAGTATTATTTAAAGCTAGGCTATTTTTGACTTAACCCTACCAGAATATGAGGCATCTAATGTCAGCGTGGCTTACCCTCATGTAATAGTTACTGGTGGTCAAGACAATGTTATTGCATAATCTAAACACATTCATCTCGAATTATCCTATCACGTAGCAAACTATTCACCCTATTTTTTCCATAAGAGATATTCAGATAATATTCTAATTCACAGAATAACAGCATTGACCAGGTCGGAAAAGACCTCCAAGATCATCAAGTCCAACCCTTGATCCAACACTGCTGTGGTTACCAGACCATGGCACTGATGCCACATCCAATCTCATCTTAAAAACCTCCAGGGACAGTGAATCCACTACCTCCCTGGGCAGCCCATTCCAGTGTCTGATTACTCTCTGTGCAAAAAATTTTTTCCTAATATTCAACCTAAACCTCCCCTGGCACAGCCTAAAACAGTGCCCTCTTGTCCTACTGCTGGTTACCTGGGAGAAGAGACCGATGGCCACCTGGCTATAACCTCCTTTCAAGTCAATGTAGAGTGATGAGGTCTCCCCTGAGCCTCCTCTAGGCTAAACAAACCCAGCTCCCTCATCCTCTCCTCACAGGACTTGTGCTCAAGTCCCTTCACCAGCCTGGCTGGTCTTCTCTGGACCTGCTCCACCCCCTCAATGTCCTTCCTGAACTGAAGGGCCCAGAACTGGACACAGCACTTGAGGTGTGGCCTCATCAGCACTGTGTAAATTTGTTATTAAAGCTTATAACTTACTGGACTTGTATATATATACTAACTAATACAGATTAAACCACTAGTGGTTTACTTTCTAGGCAAAAAGACAAGAAATTATTAGCAGTTGATTAGGTAGCTTCATGGAGGATGGGCTCTGGAAGTTCCCAGATCACAGGGACTGAAGGCCAGGAAGGAAAGGCTCCCTGTGCTGAGGCACCTGCCAGAAGGGTTCACTGGGTGGACAGACTGCCCAGAGCTGGCAGGAGAACATGCAGCTGTGTGCACTGGACCTCTGCTATCCCAGCTGAGGCTGTGGGCCCACAAAAAGGAGCAGCTTCTGAGGTAGCCCAGGTCTGGGGTGATGGGCTGGCGAAGGTAGCTGTGCCACAGGTCTCCTCCTGCTGTGGAGGGAGCAAAGCCCACAGCTGGACCCTACCTCTGCTTTTCCATGCTGTCCTGCCCATGCCAGGGCTGGGGCTGCCACAGGCAGCTCTCGGTATCTGGCCCTTACTTGGTGAAATGCAGGTGGAAAGGTCCATTGCCCATGGGCTTCTCTGTCACCCACATGCAGCTCACGGTAGTCATGTAGTTATTCAAGCAGCTCAGGCTGCCAGAGAGCTCTGCAGAGAAAGGAGACCAGAGCTGGATTCATGTATCACTGGATGAGGCCTTGCTCAGTACATTAAATAAATGCATTACTTGCTAGCGCTTCCTTTACTGACACTGCATCTAATCTTCCCCATTACGTTCTTCCTCTCTTGTACCATACTTCACTGCATGAGATGAGTGTAAGATCTTAGGGCAGGGGCCTTGGGCAGTGGCTACGCTTTTTCTGCTGCCTAGCTTGTCCACTATGTGCTCAGTTCCCTAGGCTTGGCATTGCTAGCCAGCTGTACCAGTTCTTGGGACCTGGGAAAGGTCAAGATCTTGGGTTGCATATTTAAGGGTCTGTGAAAGAAAAATGAGCACAGGTATGTGCTTGTTTTCCTACAGTGAACCTATTCCAGATCTCCTCTTACCTCTCCCTCTTCCTCCACCAAAGAGCAGCACAGCAGTAATACACAGCTGGAGGCCCAGCTGCCACACAACTCTTCCCATTCCAGATAATATCTAAAACAGAACAATTTTTAGGAGCGGTTTTGTCAGTATTTGTACCAGCAGGTTGAAGCTTTACCTACTTGCTTCTGTCAGTGTGACACAAGCTTATCTTGAATCTGTTAGAGAGGGCACCAACTCAGCTATAATTTCTTCTACAGAAACTGGTCTTCTCATGGCAATAAATAGTACTTTGTACAGGAATCTAAAGCACAAACTGCATTAAAGGAAATCTTTAATTCCTGCAATTTGATCAAGGGTGGGTGAAAGGGTGAGTGTTCCATCTTTCCTTATTCCTGCATTTTTGGCATCTGGTTTATGACAATTTAAGAGCATCAGAGAGCCACAGTGGGTTGGAAAAAATGTTCGTGTTTCCCTGTATCCCATGTCTGACAGTAACCAAAACCAGCTGCTTAGAGAAAATCATAGCAATAGAGCATACATATTCTTCTCTGAAAACATTCTCAGCCTTCAGACATTTGTAGCTCAGGGGCCTCCTGAAGCAGACATAATTTCTGCATATTCAGAGAAGAGAAACAAAGAATAAGTGATATGCTCCTGGTCAAAGCACTCATTGAGAAATATAGAATATTTAGGGCCTAGTCATTACCCCAGTTCACTGAAGGGTCGTGTAAGGATGTTTGAAGTGTATATTCTGCAATATGGAACACTACCTTTGTACAGTGTTATGCTGGACTCACTCTTTTTTTTTTTAATCAGAAATTACGTTCTGTGAATTCTCTCCCGATGAAGTTTTAATTTAAAACTATACTTTTTCACTGAAAGCTTCTGATTTGATATTTTTACAGCAAATTTTAATGAAGATGTGGACCTGATCTACTTAGCAATACATGGTGTTTTTAAAAGGTGTTTCTGGTTTGCAATACTTGCTGTTACCTGAACACAGCAAATGAGCCCAGCACCGCTGCAAGGAGTGTGATGCTCCAAGGAGCCTGAAATCCAGAAAACATAGAATGAGTCTGTAGACAGAGAGCACTAATAAGTATAAACAAAACCACTTTCTTGAAAAATTAAAAGAATTTTGGAGGAACACTTTGCACTCCTTGCCTAGCACATACACTGAACTGAGCTCTAGGGCTGGGCTAACATAAGGGTGTGAGAATTTTCTGTCTTAAAAGAGCTTGGGATAGTTATTATTTAAAAAAAAAAAAAAAAAAAAAGCCAAAACAACAAAAACACAAAAACAAAACCCAAAACCAAACCAAACCAACCAAACAAACAAAAAACCCAACCAAACCAAAAACTATGAACCAAAATTTGCCAGAGATTATTATGATCTCTCAGAAAAAGCTGGGGAAAAGGGAGAGTGTGTCAGCACAGGAGAAACACTAAGTACAGTGTTAGCACAGGACCAAACAAATATAGCCTGGCTATAGAATAAGATCGTGATTTCTAACCAACAAAGGCTCTGAAGTAATCTTGAATAGAAGTGAGCGAGAAAAGCCTATGCTTAGCAAGGATTGTGACATTTAAATCATTAGGATTGTTTTACTGAAGGAATAAAGTGATCTGATGGCTACAACAACAAGAACTGGACTCCATGACCAGTTTCTCCAGTCAGGAATTTCACAAAGCTAGATAGCAGCATCCACATAAAACTTCTTGCCTGTGATTGTGCGTGCTTATGGTGTCCCTTTTCTGAACCGAATAGCAAAATAATTACAATGTTTTAGAAACTTATCAAGAGAAAAGGAATCTTTCTGGCTACCACTTCCCCACCCCTTCATCTGTGGGTTTTTGGTAAGCACTCTGTTTTGCTGCAGACCTTCTTCAGAGTGCGGGTTGTCAAGAGGAAGTGTCACCATTAGCTGATTTTAGCTGCAGGAGGCTGGGAGGCATGAAGCCTCTCCTGCTTATCGTTCTGATCAGGGTTGCATGTGATCCCTGAGATAGATACAGTAATAGTGACTAAATATGATATAGAGAGAGCTGCATTAAGTAGAATTATACATGTGCTTGCAAGAACTTGTTCAGGCACACAAACAAATAAACAAACATAGGTCAAGATAAGAAAACCAGGACAGAACGTTTCCAGGTAATTGCTATTAATTTTATAAACTCTCCCCACCCCACACAAGAAGTTCTTTGTTCAGTTCTGCAATGTTTGAAATGTGTCAGACATTTCTTGCTCTCTAGCTCACCTGGAAACAAATACAGCATATTTAAATGCAAATTTTTGTGTTAGAAGCCATGAATGTTAGTCATAAGTAGGTCATGGAACACTGAATTCTGAAAGGCTTATCAGAAAATTATTTCAGAAAATAGCACATAACCAGATGAACAAGATTCTGCAGTACATTAATGCAATTAGAGGAGCTAACACACAGATTGTGGGAGCATATGAGTTAAAAGAAATGTTACTGTAGCTACATGTAGCATTGAATAATTTCTTCTGCTGGGATCCATACTTTAAAAGAGAGTTGCTGTCAATATGAAAATGGTTCTGAAAAGGGCTATAAGAATGATATCACCTTGGATAACTTTCCTCAGAAATCAACAATTAAAGACCAACTAAATCTATTTAACTTAACCAAAGGAAACACTAAATAGTAATTTCACACCAGCCATAAGTATCTTACATGGCAAGGTGATTTCACATAAGAGAAAAATCTTTTTTTTTTTATTTTTTTTTTAATATCCTAGAGAAAGATGGAAAGAATGCACTTGTTGGACACTGAAGGTAGATACAATTAGACAGAAACAAAGTGCAGAATTTGTACAAAGTGGAACTACCTTTATTGCTGGAACCTCTTGCCTAAACATATGATGCAAGACTTGTAGTCTATACATCTTTCTTAAGTACCTTAAAAAATAATACAAAATCTCCTTAGCTCAGATGGAAACCCAGTGCCAGCAGCCCAGGCGCTGTTACAGCAGCTGCCAGCACTGGAAGATAAATCAACTTTTTAGCCAGGTTGCCTGCTTTTAAATGCTCTCAGCTGCTTACTGACAGAAAGGCACATCATTGACTCTTATTGGTAGATCTATTACCAGGAATTCATATTCACAGATTCACCCCCACATTTGGGGTCCAGCTGAATACACAATAAAAAGATTTTCTTTTAAGAATTTATAAGGAAAAATAAATTATTTGATAGATAACACTGGGAGGGGAAGTAGAACAAGAAGGTGACAACACAGTCCCAGCATGTGGGTAGCCTAGATATCATCTTGGTTTTAGCAACTCAGTAAAGCAGAGCTTTACAGGAAGACCTGAAGAATGAGGTAGCCCAGGCGAATTCTAGGCAGTACCTTCAGTATGTAAGCAGTAGCATAAAGGATAATTAGGAGGAGGTGATTTAACAATCTAGTGGGAGGTGGAAACTGACATCATAGAGTTCCCTTCTTGATGGGGAAAGGAGAGATGACAACAGGACAAGGAGAGGCTGCCAGTGACTTTGGGAGTGGGGGACAAGAAGCTTATGTTTGATGAGATAGAGAAAGAGAAATAGAAGAATTGTGTAAACAAGTGTAATAGGTTCAAAGGGACAGACACAAAATAGGACCTTTGCATCTCTGACTTTTGGATGATTATAGGTAAGACAAGGTTAGTTTTACAAAGGCCTGACAAAACATGAAGTGTCATATAAGAGCATGAGCAAGAATTTGACATGAAGATGTGTGCATAAGCCCATGGCAGGGATCCCTTCCAACACACACTGTTCTAGGATTCTATGATACAATGCGTGATGCACAGTGGGAGCAGACACAGCAGACCTGGACCCTTGAACACTGCTTCTATTCATTACATCTTAGTAATTAGTGATAAATGACCTGCTCTCCCTTGGCCATAATCCCTTCCTTTGCTTACATCTCTTCCAGAGGAAGCACTAACAGGCACTACAGAAAAGCAGGACACTGACTGGCACCCATGAAATGATAAAACAATGATAAGCAGTAGCACGTCTGTACCAACAGGTACATCCATCCATCCATCGATTAGGGCTAACGTAAGTGTACATTCACCTTTATCCTACTAGGTGTGATTAGAGGGATACCCATTATGAACAACCCTCTCTGCCTATAAGGAAAGACTTTTGTAGGTCCTTTAAGAAAAATTAGCCATAAATTATCTACTTTCTTAATACCTAGGCCTCTGAGCACATGCCTGACAGAAGCACATCAAGTGCACACAGCAGACTCACATGATCAGAATGCCAACTGCTGCGGAATAAGGAAAAAGGGGTTGGATTTCTCAGCTACAGAGATTATCAGAGAGAACCCCATATAACCAGTCTTTTTCTCCCTTCATCTTTGGAGAGCCTTGCACTTTTAGATTTGACATGCTTGGATCTGAGAGAAAAACCTGCTACAAAGGACAACTACTGCAATAAAGCAATATCCACACACACACACATACGTTAAAAAAGTATATTTTTGCCTGCAAAGTCTCAAATACTGAGGACTATTTTGGCTGGATTCCTTTACCTTAATCTCTTGCAGTCAGAGAGGAGTACCTAAAAAATAATTTCTTCAAGGTGGTCCTTCTTTTGAGCACAATCCATCAGAATTAATGCAAGAGTGTTGTTTTGTGCTCAGCAAACTAGTAGAACAAAAGCACAGAGACCCTTCTCATGATTCTTTTGTTCTAGGTTTCGAGTACAAGAAACAATATATAATTCCACATTTAGGTAAAGAATATATTTTTCAACATCTTAGCTTAGTAGATGTATCCTAACATTAGATACTGGCATGCATGAAACAGAAATATGTTAAACTGTCTTACCAGCTCAAAGAAAATGTCACTTTTCGCACTGCTTCTGTCCTTTGATAGTTTGGGCTTTGTGGTTTGATGATCATGCAGTAGCAGCAGTGGCATAATAAAGCAGAGCATACTGTGCCCGATTTTAAAGATAATCTCAAGAACCAATGAAAAACTGCTCAGATTATCAGATTGAGTTAAAGTAGCTGTATCTGCAATTACTCATTAGTCATGGAGAAACTGAGGAATTTCTGCTAAAGGGTTAACATTTAAAAGGCCAGGCAATTTGCTGAATATAAAAGTATCTGCTTGCAACTTTTATATAAAAAAAGGCCAACAGAAGAGGTTTCTAAGTGATCTAAAGCCATTTTCTAGCCCTGTCTGGATGTGAGGCAAAACTGCTTCCATCCAAGTCCTCTGCCCAACTATGCTCAGATTCCTGGAGCACCCTGAGCTGCCCTGTCCTGCACTTCCCCCACAGCCAACTGCTGCACTGTGCTCAAAGGGCAATTCTGGAAGCAAAGGCAAATAAGCATTGTAGTGTTTCTGTGTCCTGATCCCAGAGTGTATGAGGAACAGATCTTCCCATGCCCAGCTGCAATGGCAGTGTTACAGCCAGGATCCATCAAGTCAGTCCTGTACATGGGTCTAGTGCCAAGAAGGGGGAGAGAGAAGCAGTCAAAGAATTGACTGAGTAACGGTCTGTCAGTATCAGCTTCTGGGGCCAAGAGACAAGGAGGCAGAGGCCATGCAGAAATGGAGATGGACATTTCCAAATTGGAACGAATTATGGTGCTTCTCCTAGTATCTGCTTTTTGGCCTTAGCATTCCTGGGAAAACATAATTTTTCCAAATGAGATACTGCTAGCTAAGGGACATTTGCAGTTTGCTCCTAAGAGACTGGAAAACTCCCGCCTCGAACCCCTCCACATTCACAGTGACAACAATTCATTGGGCAAAGGGCAATTGTTACAGCTTGCTTCAAAGGGATTGGCCTTCCCTTATTTTAATACCCTTATGCTAGGTACCTGCCCACAAAATTTGCCTCCTAGGGTGACCAGAAGTAATTTCTAGCCCAACATAGCACCAAACCACCACCTTCTACCAGATGTACGGCCTGATAGTGTTGCAGTAATAGAAACAGCCCCTTCAGCAGTTCTGGGGCCAGTGATACAAATAGAGACAAAGAGCATGAAGAACTGAGATGTAAAGGGCCATAGAAAGACAGGCAAGTTTCTCCTCTTCCCTTAAGCAGCTGGAGTCAGTTACCACAATGTAGTTTCTGAAGTGAAAATAGCTGTAGAACAAAGCTGTAGACGAAGCTGTAGAAGACTGTGTTGAAACCATCAGAAATACTTCTGCCTAGTACACATTTGCATTGACATGAGCATGATGCAAGAGCTCTTGTAGGACAGTGTGGGGCAGGCTCATCTCATCAGGGCATTGGGGTGATCCTCTGCAGTTCATGGAGGACACGCGAGGGACTGGTTGTGCAGCAGGGAGGATGTATCAGCATGTGAAGACCTCCCACAATTTACGAAAGCTCATGACAAGAAAAATGGAAAATGAGGAGGGAAGGAACCAAAAAGCTTAATATCTTAGAGCAATGCCCAGGAAGCCACTGATCTAGGGGTATACTGAGAGAGTAATAACAACATGGGCAAAACTAAGCCATGTAGGTCCAAAATCAACATAGCAGATACCATGGTTGCTCTGAACAATCAAACCAGGGAGGTGGATGCATAGCAGTACAGTCACAGCACTCACCTGTGAAAGAAAGAGCTTCTCTTCATTACAGTACTCCCTTCTGTTTAGGGAGCTGTGGAGTTGCCTATAGTGTCAGTTAAGAGATGGAGAAGAGGGAAGAGAGTTTATTGGTATCACAGCAACAACAGGTTATTACTGCACTGGAAACAAACCTCATTCACCACAAAGGTTCTCTCAGGATAGGACCTCCTACAGCCAAGCAGCCTCTAGGTTAGTAGCGCTATGCTTACATAAGATGTAGGTCTTCATATTCACTTTCAGTATTGCAGTAACTTTTAAAGACAATTATCCTAAACAAATCAGAGATAGAGATGTCAGAGGGAAACAGACTGACAATTACAGTAGAAATTGCAGATTCATAGTTGGCTTTAATGGCTAGCTGAAATTGCTCAAAATCTGTGCTATCGACCTGTTAACAGTAGTAGAGCAAGTCCAAGGCAGAAGTTGCAGACACATCCAGCTAGGACAACATTTCTGAAATTTTGAAATAGTTCTAAAGCTGCTCAATTAACGTGCTTGAAAAGTGCTGAGAGATAAGCTGACTCAGTAGCCTAGTAGAAAGAGTTTGTCTGGAATTATATGTTTTGAAGACTTTTCATTTGCAGACTCCATCTGGAAAGGCAAAGTCTTTCTGAAACCTGAATTGTGTTTGTTCTCTTGGACATAGATTTCTATGATGATTACATAAGAATTCGTTTTGATCATATCCCATGGACAGGTCTGGGACCTCCATAACTAATAAACTACTACAGCTGGGTTTAAAGACCCAAAAGACACTAGTAGGAAAAGTAATACCAAGTTATTTGGAATAGGTAGGGGTGCTTTAATGTAGCAAACATGCTTGCCATGGGTTATGCTTCTAAGAGTGCATGTACAGCCAAACTCCCAAGTCATGTGAGAATACCAGAGAAAATAAAGTTCTGTAATCTTCAAAAGGTTACTGTAAAAAAAATTGCACATCTACATAACCCAAAGGATAATTTTCAAGGTACTTAGAACTCTAAAAAAAATTTAAAAAAAAAAATAAAAAAAAAGAGAAAAAGCAAGCAACAAAACCCAGAAACAATCAATCATAACAAATTTGAGACATTAATAGGATAAGTGGCAATAGAAATAGGCATGTATTTCTGTGGACCTAACAGTTTTCAGTTGTAGGCAAGAAAGCTTACACAAAGTAAACTGTTTCTCTTCTGAATTTTGCTAACACTTTGCTCCTGGCACAGTAAGGAAAGGCCCCACGCTCTACCAAGCAACATCAAGTCTTCAGTTCGCCTGTGTCCCACTGACAGGGCTGTCAGAGCGACAGGAGACCCACTGCTTGACGTAGCTCCGTGGAAAGTCCTGCCCCTCCTGCTCAAGAGAGATGGGCCCACAGTTGGTCTGACTGTTTTGCCCAAATTCACAGTCAAGAGGACTTCCACAGTCTGAGTCTACAAAGCCACTGTCAATAGTGTCCAAATCAATGCAGATCATAGGGTAACTGTCACCAGGCTTAGTACTGTGAGGGAAGAAGTCGTAGGAGCCTTCACTGTAGGAAACACTGTCACCATCAGGAGAAGGTAGAGAACCTGGATTTTCCAAATCCCACCGAAGAGGCTGCAAGCAAAGGGCTTCTAGGATGCTCCCCACTCCTGCTTCTAAAGACCTTTCTACTTGCTGGTGGGCTGGGACACTTGTGCTCCTCAAGTGGTCTGTGGACACGGAACCTGAAGCAAGTATTTTGTCCTGCGTGCTCAGGTCAGCCAGATGCAAGTCATGGGATATCTTTCTGTCTTCCTCATCAATGTTAACCTTGGGGTAACCAGGTCCTCCAGTACCATCATCTTCCTCATTGGTATGCTCGTGTTCCCTATACACATGGTTACAGCTGCACTGGCAGTTACAGGATGTAAATTCATCAGCCACAGTAACCGTATCAATGGACAAATGCCCGTATGACTGCTCCTCAGTCCCACCACTGCTGTTTACACTAGACCACAGGGACTGGCTATCGTGGCCTGGAGCAGTCAGGCAAGACACACAGGTCTTGCAAGGCAGATTCTTTCTCAGCTCATGCAGCTCTTCCCGTGAGGTGCTGTTGGAAGGATGCATGGTGTAAACTTCGAGGACTTCTGGAAGGACTATTCCCCATTCAAAGAAATCAAAGGTCATTTTCGTATGGGATGCACCAACCCACTTCTGCAGAAAAGGGCAAACGGGAGAGAGAGGTTAGTATCACAAGTTTTGGGGTTCCACAAAAATGACCAAAGTTCTTATGCTTTTAGAGGCAAACTCTAAAAGCACTGACTCCTCCAATAGAACAGGGTAGGAGATGCTGTTATTACCAGACACAGCTGCAGGAGAACTGACTGAAGTAGTCGAAAATAATTAGCTCTGAGAGGTTTGCATGGCTTTGCAATTTTCTCTATGTTGCAAAGGATGCCACTGCCCATAGCAGCATTCTGTCATCAATCAGCCTGAAGTCCCAGGCCAAGCCACTAAGCTGCCCCTACCCTCTCATCCTGGACACTGCTTCTCTTGGGGAGGATGGTCAGCTTCTCCCCGTGTATTGCACTTGCAACCAACACACACATAGTCCTGCTCTCTCACTTCCCCTGCCTCAGTTTCCTGGGAATGGGGTCAGGACAAGGCTTCTCTGATCTGCTGTAGGCACCAGAACAGCCTTTTCTTTCACAGTAAAAAGAAGGAAGCAGTAGGCAGGGGTTGGAGTCCTCGCAGAACTGTAGCCACCACCTGCAATACTTATTCAGATTATTAGGAGTGCCACACATTGAATCTTGCCCTTCTGTATCACCATTAGCATCACACTGTGCCCTGTCCCAGGTATTCTCCCTACATCACACATCCCTTGCCTTCAGTCACATCTGAGAGTAAAGGCACTCCTGGATTTCTCTGGTTTAAGAAAACAGTAAAAGTTTATGTTCCTTTTGAAGAAGTCCCTGAATCAGACATTCAGATCAAAGCAAATTTTAGACATGTCCCGCTAATGAATGCCAGCAAGTCCTACTTGAGGATTCTGCAGTCCTGAGGCTAGGCACAGCACAGACTCAAGACTTGGTTCTGCTCCCTGTCTTCCACTTACCTAATGGCTGAGCTGTGTCAAGGCTCTTCTAAGTGTATTGCTTTCTGCTGTGTATAAAATAGGTAAGAACACTGCACTTCATAAACACTATGAAGGCTTCTGACTGAGTGCTGCCACATCTGTCAGACTGCCTTAATCTTACTGGCCCCCTGTCCCAAACTGCACTCAGCATAACTGTACATGAGCAAAATATTTGGGAAGAGAACAGCTTGACAGAGTTTATTACCCTCTGACAGAGAGCATGGGGAGAAAAATCTTCATTACAGCAGGAAGCACTAAGTCTATTTTAATTAATTTTTAATGTAAGCTAAAGAGAACTTAGTATTAAAGCTATAATGGACAGGAAGGCATCTGAGGTGCAAAAGGGTTTTTGGAGAAACAGTAGAAAATCCTTTTCTTAGAATTGAGTGGGCAGAATATTTCTTATTCCCTCTTGACAGTTCTTTGCAAATTCCCACTCCATATGAGCCTAAGAACTCACATACATACAACAACGTTCCTTAGCTTTCCTTTCTATGTTTCAAATTTTTCTCTAACATTTTCGCTGCTTTCTACCCAATCCAAGAGTGCTGTCAGCAGAGCATTACTACTGTAATTTCCAAACATTATTCACAAGACGTAACGTAACAAAACCTGCGTTTCTTTGATGCAGGTAGGATGCAGTTGAATAAGACCTACATCAACTGGGTTTTTGTTGGCCAAAAATGACAAGTCCATTCACTTTTTGGTGATGTCACCACATTCTCTTGATACCCCTGCCTGTGCATCTTGTGCTGTGGCTGTGTGAGCAACTGCTGCTTTGATCTGCAAATTTCCTAGGAAGTAACTCAGCTTTAGCAACTGAGACTCCTTCCCTTCCCCGCAGCACTGAACAACCTATGTAGAAACTAGAATATAATTCCTACAGAACAGAGAAGCCCAAGGCTTCACCTTAGAGGAGCATGGCTCTTGGTATAGCAGGGAGCTTTCATTTTAACCGTGAGCACTAGCCCATGACGCTCAGGAATTCACACACTGGGTCCACCTGGTCCTTCCCCTGAGAGCAACTAGTACCAGCTGCCTCACCAGAGGATGCAAGTACCCCTCTGGTGCAGATATAGGAAGGCATAACAGGCCTGAAAGAGGAAGGAAAGAAGGGAGACAGTCATTACTGGCTTCAGGCTGAATAGCACCCCTCCAAGACTACTTGTTTAACCTAATTACAAACATCAGCCTTGCAGCGGTGGGAAAGTAAGTACATGAAGATCATTAGGGCCATCTCCCAGAATGTCTAAGAAAAAGTAGACAGAAAAAGCAGACACTGAAGTGTCTCTGATCAGTTCTGCTGTAACAACAGGAACTTGTTCAGAAAGAGGCAGTGATATCTGCACTCATATGCCAGCACTTTTACAGTTTGATAACAGGACTGTGAGCTGCTCTTCAGCTTAATAAAATAATTATTTATGGATGCTCAATGTACTTTTACTTTTGCATCCTGAGGACTCCAGAAAACTCTGCAGCTTTTGCAAACTATTTTGTTACAAAAGCAAGTTTGGCTGGTGAGAAGACAATTTGGGAGGGCTAGGCAAAGTTACTCAAAGACAATTCCTTCATAGGAAGTCAAGCTCCACTGTACTATCACAGCGATTTCCCCCCAAAGCTCTGGACATCCTTTCAGGACAATATGCATAATGTTGCCTACATGAGTGACTCTTCAGAGAGAAGTATAATGCTTAATGTTGAGCTTTTGTCACATCAGAGCCTGGAGTGGGAAATCTGGGCTTTACAATTAAGTCTGTTCCATGGCCTTTATGTCTCCATGGGACTGGAGCTTTGGAAAAATCCCAGGGTATTTGACTCCCATCAGGATCCCAGTCTTCACAAATGACATGAACTCAGCTCATACACTGAGACAGCACCTACAGAGAATAAGCAGTACAGACATGATATAAAAGTCTTCATGGCACAGAACAGACACTGGAGAGCCCTGGTCCCTATATCTAGAGCCTTCTGGCATTCCTTTGAGATAGATTTCCCCTCCTAGTGCCCTAAAGAGAATCCCTTGCCCAGGATAGCACAATGGCCTGTAAGTTTGTCATGTGCTCCACTCCACTCCACACGTTCTTATGTAGCCCAATTATACCTTGAAATCTCCGTTATGCGCCAGGTAAAGAGGTTTGAAAAAGGGAGCAGGGTCTGGGATGCAAGCCATCTTCTTCCAAAAGCTGGAAGAGGAAAAAAAAGAAAGGCTTTGGTGTTAAGCATGTTACCCATGCAAAGCAAGGCATCTCTAGATCCATTCAAGCAACTGAAATCACCTGCCCAGCCTCATGAGTTAACAAGTGGCTGAGGATCCAAGGATGCCTTGTGCTGCCAGAGCCATCTAATGGCCTTTCTTGTGAACCTCACAGGAGGTGAGACCTCAGCACTTGCACACACATATATTCATGCTATGGAAAGAGATTCCAATTTTTTTCTTCCTGGAAAAACAGCAAGTGCTGGAAATGCATTTTCCCCTCAGGCTGAGTTGGCTAGTGGTCTACACATCAGGTCTCTGCCCTATGCAATTCTTTTGTGGACCCGGGCTGTGCTAGCCCTGTTGCTGCACAAGCCCAGCCCTCTGTGTCAGCACCCCAAAAGGAAGAGAAGCCCCCAGCCAGCATTGAGAGGCCTATGTTGAAAAGGGGCAGGCCAGTCCTGGCTACTGCTCCATCTTGCAGCTGCAGAGCACAGACAAGACCAGGAGAACAGCTCAGGAGGCTGGGTGGCCCTTGCTGCATCCCTATCTGCCACTGTCTTGTCCCAGCCAGCTGAATGGCAGCAGAGCCCCAGAGAAAAGCAGCTCGTTCCCAGCAGGACATCAGCTAGAGACCATACCCGGCTGGTCCTCACAAGACCATAGCAGCCCATGCTCCCCATACAAAGAAGTCTGCCTGTGAACACCCCCATCTTTATCAAGATAGAATAAGAGCATTTACTCACGCTTCCTGAAGCATTCTTACCTCTGTTGTTTGGCCAGAAAGGTTGCGATTGAAGCCATGATTGACACAACAACACCAAACAGCAGCAGCCATCCCATGCCTGCTGTTTGTGTTACTGCTGAAGAAAGAGAAGGGTCATTCAGGCTCACCTTGTATTTATCCTCTGGTCAATAAGCAGGAGATGGTGAGGAGAAAAAGGGTATTTGCAATGCAAGGGCTTGTCAGGTACTGGAAGGGTCTGCCCAGGGGAGTCACCATCCCTGGAGGTGTTCAAGGAATGACTGGATGTGCTCTGGTTGACAAGATGATGATCAGTCACAGGTTGGACCTGATGATCTTGGAGGTCTTTTCCAACATAAATGATTCTGAGACACTCTCAATTTCTACCCCTACTCAATTTCTCTCATATGGACATTGAGGCTGTTACCTGGGCCCCAGTATCCAGACATGAGGTCTGAACGAGAATGCTCAGAGGAGACTGCACCAATGAAAGAAGCAATGCATCAGCTGCCCCATGGCCTGGCTGCACCACACACAGACAGCCAAAAAATTTGGGGTAGGACAGCTCTTCCACAAAGACTGGTGTTTCTGACTCCTTGTTTAGGGACACCTCAAAGATGACCCATGAAGTGAAGAGAGCAGTTGGTCAGAAACATGTGAAGAAATGGTGTTGACTGACTGCTTGGTGGCTGCTCTCCACCTGTGGTGAAAAGGTGCACCTTTAAGATCCAATCCCTTCTGGATATCTGGAAACGGAGCAAATAGAGCTTGGCCCTGCTGCCACAGCACCATGTAAACCCTGTAATATTTCAGTTTGAGCTGCAGATAAATGAGAGCAGGGAAGTTCAGTGCATGCTGCTGACATTGACTGCAGTCATCTTGCCCTGCTCTTGGAGCAAAGACTCCCTGTTTTCATAGCCTTTGTTCCATGGCGATAAACATCAGTGTACTTCTGTGCATAAGGTACTGTGAAATGGTGCTGCGGAGTGGTGGCTACTAAACAAAACCCATGGCCAGCATGACCAACCATTAGAGTCCAGACCCAGAACTCAGACTTGAGAGCAGGATCTCCCTCCCCTCAGCTGAAGACAACACTAAGCCCCAGTAGAAGGAGATCTCCCTCATTTCTGAAAGCTTCAAGCAGGACCCTGGACATTTGACACTGAAGCTAGAGGCTACACTCTTGCTGTGGCACCCAAACCTACAGCCAAGCCCACCAAATCCTTTTCCAGGGAAGAACATCAATACTGACAGCCCAGGCCTGGGGTTCCTGTACTCAGCAAGAAAGCTAACATACCTGTCTAGACTATTTAGAATTTGTTCTGATTATTTAGATTTGATTAGAGTTCTGAAAGCATTCTGACACTGGACTAACTGGAAGGGCAAGGACAGCTAGTTAGCATGTACCGGCAGGGCTGGTTTTCAGTGACAGTGGAAGACTCCATTCACTCCAAAACCCACGGTAGCCACTGTCTTCCCGGGGTCTGGCTCTCACTTGGAACTCGTACTCAGTGTTCACCTGGAGTTCCCATGGTAGGATCACCAGTGTCCGTTTATCTTCATGAACAGCTTTAGTCTTCTGAGTCTGTGAATGATTAAACACCAAACGCTCAGGATTAGAGTGACTGTTCTCACTTTCCCCTCACTGCTGCACAGTGAGGAGCCCTGCAAAGTAACCTCCCCTGCTTTTATGTTGTTTCTTCAAGGCCATGCTCTGGCTGGTCTTGCATGCGGCCACTGGGGAGCCTTCCATACAGCACAGCACGAGAATCAAATGAATTATCACTCTCCTTACTAGTGGAATAGAACTAGTACTTCTCACACAAATTCTGCTTCTTGATTCATTTTTGGGTTTGCCTGTTTTCAGTCCAGTCAAACAGAAAAAACACATCTTTTCTAAACCATGAAAACACTTCTTCCACACCAGTGCTGCCATCCTGGTTGTGCTGGCCTCCTCTTTTCTGGTACATCCTACTTGATGGTAAACTGACATCTCACTTACCTCCCAGGTATCGGTTCTTCTCTTATAACGCAGCTGATATTCCAGCTCCTCATTCAAAAAGTGGAAGGGAGATTTCTGGTAGGTGGTTTCCCAAGAAATATTGTAACCCTCTGAGAACAAAGTGGTCAGGTTGAATGGAGGCTGTGGTTTGACTGGAAGACAGGATGGTGTTACCTTTTGTAACATTACTACAGACAAGATGGCCCAGCTTGGTATCAGCAATGCAGAGCGAGTAGGGAGCAAAACTGCCCTGGCACAGGTGGGCCTTCCTCATACAGGAGAACATCCACAGCATTCCTGCCCCTCAGCCATGCACAGAACCTCACACTTGAGCAGCATAATGAAGTCAGGCCCAGGTTTTCACTGAATATACCTTCTGCCTGTCTCTGAACCTCCTCATTGCTTAAGGAGCAGGAGAAGATAGTAGAGGGGATAATAACTCCCGGCAGATGTAAAAAGTAGAGCACCTTGTTTTTCTCATGACATAAGAGGACTCAATGAGGTCATGATCACTTGAAAAATTGGGGAAATACCCCTCAATGTAACAGGCATCAGGAAGAGCTGAGGGCAAGGGGACACTGCATAAACTCAGCGTAATTCCTTTTGTCCTAAGTGCCCAAAACCCAAGCTTTTATATCCCTGCAGGGCATGTTCATGTATGGAAAAGCAGTAACGCAAAACTCCAGCAGGGCCTACCACTGAGCTACAATGCCTCTGGATGGGGACCTTCAGGAGGTATGCAAAGCACTACTGCCCAATCTGTAGTCTGTCAGTGGAGTCAAGGGGGCTTCCTGAAATGTTATGGCATTTGTCAAAAAGAAAACACTTCTCAAGTAAAGTTTCATTTCAGAAGAATCCAAGTAGAAAAATCCTTTTCATATGCCTGCACAGTACTCATCTGCCTGACTAACCACTTTTCTTCAGTTTGCTACACAACCAGAACATATCAGCATTCCAAGTCAGCTACATGATTGCATTCAATCTTCCTGTCATGCAGGAAAGATGATTAGGAATTGCCCCATAAAGGGGAACTGCTACATCCATTTCATCTGGGACACCTTGTGCCACCCAAAATAATGTCATGCTAGGTCAGATGTCCACTGCAAGAACCTTCTGGAACTTCTTTGAGATTAGAAGAGAACTGGAAAAGGACTTTTGACAAGGGCTTGTACTGATAGGACAAAAGGGAGTGGCTTCACACTGACAGAGAGCAGGGTAAGATTGTATATTGGGGAGAAATTCTTGGCTGTGAGGGTGGTGAGGCACAGATTGCCCAGAGAAGCTGTGGCTGCCCCGTCCCTGGAAGTGTTGAAGGCTGGGTTGGACAGGGCTTGGAGCAATCTGCTCTAATGGAAGGTGTCCCTGCCCGTGGCATGGTGTTGGAACTTCATGATCTTTAAGGTTCCTTCAGCCCAAACCATTTTAAGGATTCTATGATTGGTGACATTTGCAATAAAACAATTCCTCTTGCCCTTTAGAATCCAGCCAAGAACAAATTCCTGCATAATAATCTAGGTATGAGACTGGTCTAAGTGGAAATTTATCACCTACTGCTTCATGAATTTCTCTATGAAAGGCATGGACTAAGCCAGCTCTAAGCTCAGCCTCAAGCATAATAGTGGCAATAAGAGCACAGTGCTCTGTGTAAATGAGTGTACACCAAATGTAGCCCCCACTACTTGCTGCCATGGTCACTCTTTGCCCAGACTATCCTGGCACAAAGTCAGATAGCATTTATCAAATCCACCATTTTTGTACTTACTGTTGTCTGACAAATAAAAGTCTTTGGAAATCACTTGCTGTCTATCAGCTACCTCTGTAACCTCCACCTGGACTTTGGTATCTCCTAGGAGTTCAGTCATGTCCACAGTGCATGTGTACTCTGTGTGACTGGTGTTCCTGGACAATTCCAGGAGACTGCACACAGCCATAGTATTTTCTGGATCTTCCTCAGGAATCCTAAAAAAATCCAGAAGAGATAAGTCCACATCTACCACATGCTGTAGTTGTATTAATTTGTTGCTGAACCATCAGGCATAGAAATTGATTAAAAAAAAAAAATCAACATGTTCAAATAATAATTTGTCTTTTAACTTTGACAGATGTTTTCCCCTTTCTATTTGCTCAGCTTAGTATCTTTGAGAGAAGTAGAAAAGTATTTGTCAAAATGAAAGATGCTCCTCAGGGCTGCACAATCCAGGAATGCATCCACTCCCTTGCTGGGGAAGAACAGCAGCCATATGCGATTGAACAACCTGCATGAGCCCTGCCAATGTACATGGGTGAAAATTCACTGTTAACAGCAGCAAAGGGCAAGGTATTCCCATGGCAAGAGAGCAGGCAACGCTAAGGAAGCTGGAGTCAGCAAAGCAGCCAGTGGAGACAGGAACCAAGGGTCCTTTGCTATGGGAGAAGTCAGTTGGTAGCTGAAGTGTGAAATACCAAGTGAAAAACCAGCATATCAGCAAGAACAGGATTTCTACCCAACAAAGGGGACAGAAAGTCACCATTGTGCTATGGCCATGAAGAGGTTCCTCCTAACTGGACTTTGCTCATCCTACCAAGACATACCATGTTGCAGTGAGGTTGTATGAACCAGCACCCAAGTCATTTCTCAAGATACAGGACAGGGTCTGTACGTAGTCCACAAAACAAGTGAGGTTTTCACCACACACAGCTGTAGATTTGGAAAGACAAAACACAATATCAACTTCCATGATAAAGCAAGCAGAACTTCATATCAACATATGCAGTCCCAGGGTTCTCACTAAATCTGAAGGGAACAGATCACTCTGTGACAGCTCTCCTCCTGCCCTTACAAAAATTTCTAGTCTTGGGGTGTAAGATGTGTTCCAGCTCTACAGGATGACAAATCATTGACAGCAAGGTAAGTGTCAAACAAAAATCTATTAAAAATACTGTGGCAGCCAAAATCAGAAAGTGCTCTAATTGTGACTGAATTTTCAGATTTATCCCTGTCCCTTCTCATACACTCACTACAGCAGAGTCACTTATTTGGCAAGGATCTTCACTTATATGGCACATAGAATAGGCATGATACCCGAGCAAGAAGCAGTACCATATTCAAACATTTTTATGATCCCACTTCCTAAATTGAGTACTATTCTTTGTTAGTCTAGTTTTTATTGTATAACATCTTCATGGCACTTCACGAAAATACAACCTTTTTTTTTAAATGTGCAATTCTTTCATTGCCTATCTATTTGCTACAGCATGATACCTGCAGCATCAATACGTCTCATGTCCAGCTCCAGAGGTTTGATGTTTTTCACGAAATTTTGGAGAAAAATTGCAAATTTATAATTATTATAATTTCTGTAAATCATTCTGATAGGCACAATTTAATTACTTACTTCTAAAGAGAACTTCAGAGGCAATTGTAGAATTTACACTGGTCATTAAGAAAATTAAATCATTTGAAAGTGGTCACAAAGCAGCATTTATGCTCTTATAATTGTTCTGCAGGAGCTCTGCTCACAGATCAGTATCCGACATGTGCTGTACAAAAGCACCATCCTATGCATAACACACTTCACTTATCTCCCTGGATTTCAAGGCAGGGAAGACGCAGCACAATGAGAAGTGTCTGCATTGATGAATCCTTTCCTGACAGCACCCTGGACTGACTGAAACTATCACCAGTACCCTTGGAATGGCTAAGTGAGGAAAGGCCTGCAGGATACGCAGCATGCCATGCTGGTGCAAACCATGCCTCCTGCAGTGACTGTTCATCTCTGACATGTACAGTATCACCCCTTTTGGATGGGAATAAAACTGTTGTCAGCTAGAATGAGACTCAAGTTTGTAACATCCATGATTAAATCAAGCATAGGTCCTCCCCTACCATCAGGGCTGCCCCCAGACTCATGGGAATATGTTGTTACTTCACAGCCATCAGGCACCCAAATCCTCTGAAGCTGATCATGCTGCAAGCTCTCCTCTCATTGTCATTCTGCTGCTTGTTCGGTTAGAGAAGCTGCACTCCCTGCTTCCTCCTTTCCCTTTGCAACATGCTTTGTATTCAGTGTTGTTTGCAGATGATGAAAGCAGACTGATACAATATGCTCAACAATCACAATGCCCAATTTTACAGCTGAAGCTGTATGCAGAGAACCACCAACAACATGGAATGCAGGCAGCATGTGCACTGATGGACCAAAACCACCTGTTCCACCCTCCAGATCAAGTGACTGTCCCCATAAACAAGCTGTCTCTGCATTTACAGTCCCAATGCACAGTAGGGGTGTCCAGTGGAGGGAGCAGCCTACTTCTAGGCCAGGGTAAGTTCAAAGGAAAACAAAGTCCAACTTTTCCTTGCTGATGTAACCCATCACAACATTTACTTCCCAGTCCCCCTGCTCTCCATATGTGAGCTCAGGGCAGTACTCAGAGTTGTATACAAGACCCATTTCTCCAAAGAGTTAGGATAGGGACAGAAGAAATTTGGGGATATTTGCAACAGAGAGGCCCCAAGGATGTACATATGTTTTTTTAAACTGTAAATTATTCAAATGATATGGGTGTCACTTTTTTTCATTTTGACTTTTTCATTTCACACTGACTTCAGAATTTTGTTCTAAAATTTTCATTAATTTTTCTCTTTTCATTTTGAGCCCTGGATAGATTTTTCTGAGGGTCCTGGTCCAAGCACTGTTTGGTCCAAAGTCCTGAGCAACATAGTTTTTCTCCTTTAGCCTAACTTTACTCTCCTACAAAAATGGGGTTAGAAATCTCTTGTTTTCCTTTAGAGAGGGCAGCAAGTACTAATAAGCTGTTAGCATTAGTAATTAGCATTCTTCTATGCTATTATGTTAATTAGTCAAATGCACTACCATTCCTAGGTAGCTGGTAAGCTGCAAGCGTGTCTAGTCAAGAACCTGTTAACAAAATTAAGAGGACAACTTTTTACTGGGAAAGAAATAATTAAGTGTCCTAAACACAGTTATATCTAGGATGAAATGTCTGTCCTTGACAGCTTCAGAAACAAAATTCAAATACTTCTAACAGTAAGATCTAGATTGATCCAAACTGAAATTAGTACACAGTAATTCCCTGGCTTGCATCACAAAACATTCAGACCAAACATCACAATGGTCCCATATGGCAGGAAGATATAACTCTGAATGCATCTTTTCTGTTAACTTAGGTTTAAGTGGAGCAGGTCCAATGCTCTGCCTAGAAGCAGCATGTAAGATAGTAAATTTCCCTGCAGACACGGTTGTCACTGCCTTTTCCTGTCCAGCTGACCCGTTCAGAGAGTCAGCTCTGAGTCATATGGAGTTTGCAGTGTGGGTAGGAACCATCAAAAAAGGGTGGGTGACCTTCTGCACAGTCCAGTCCTGAGCTAAGGGGCTCAGGCCAGGAGAGGTTCACTCCACTGTCCCTGGCAGGCCTGCCAACAGCAACCATAAGCTGTGGTCTTGGCCACCAGAATCTTTGCTACAGCAAAGGTTTTTTTTGGTGGGGGAAATCCTACTCTAATGTCACTAGGAGACATTTCAGTGCAAGCCAAGCACTATCTCTGCACTCTCCCTGCTGGTGCTGCTCCCCACAGCAGTCTGCAGCCTGGCTGAGCTCTGCCCAGTTGTGCACCTTCCTATGCCTGTACTCCACTCCTTATCCCATGGAACTCTCTCCCCTGCCACCTTATCTTGTACTTGCTGTCCCATGGCAACCTTGTCTCATGCACATCTCATCAGAGTTGGCAACAATTGTCACCAAGATAAATCCTGTAGGTGTACAGCCTGGAAGAAATATCTGAGAACTTACTGTATTGAAATAAAAGGAAGAACGAAATATTCTGGAGCCACCGTTTGTTCCTCATGTTGGTTCTGACTGGATAGCCTGGGGGGGAAGGAAGAAAAAAAGAAAAACACAAACAAAACCCCCACAATCAATTAAAAGCTCAGCTCAGACATCTACTAATACAATGAAGGCTGAGGCAGAAGTAATCTTGCTTTCATTGTCTAAAAGTCCTTTATTTAGGCGAGTAATTTCAGCTCTCTTGTGTCATGTATCTATTTCACGGGCTAAGGAAGGGATGACCAACAGCCCTGCCAACTGGCCACAAGTGAGGTCAGCGAAATCCTTGTTCCTTGCCAGCATGTGCACAGAGAAAGCAGCAGTGACTGCAGCCTTAGGCTATCCATGCAAGAGGAAAGGCTCTTGGGTTAAGTGCTAACCCATTTTTTCATTAATTAGTTTCCTGCAACTAGAAATGGCTTGCCACTATGAGAAGCGACATTGCTGAGGGTTAAACATCTGTGCAGTGAATTAGTCAAAAAGAGTCTGAGGGTCATTGTAGATCTGTATGAGCAAGGCTGGTGAGAAGTCATTGATCTGGACTACCCATGGTTAAATAAACATGAAATATTTAGTTAAGGGACTCCAGGAAGACATACCAGAAAAAACCCCCACCTCCCAGGTGGCACAAAAGAGAACAATGTACAGCACTGACTGCAGGAAATAGCTGTGTTGGTGCACTTTGGTGCCATGCCACATAGTCTGATGTACTCTCTTTTAATTTAAAACCATCACCCCTTGTCCTATTACAACAGATTCTGCTAAAAACTCTGTCCGTATCTTACCAGCTCCCTTTAAATACTGAAAGGCTGCAATAAGGACTCCCTAGAACCTTTTCTTCTCCGGGCTGAACAACTCCAGCTCTCTCAACCTGTCTGTAGCCTCTCCAGTCCTTGGAGCACCTCCATGGTCTCCTCTGGACTCAGTACAGCTGCTCCATGTTCCTTCTCATGTTGGGAGTCCCAGGGCTCCAGGCAGAACTTCAGGTGGGGGTCTCACAAGAGCAGAGTAGAGGGGAAGAATCCCCTTCCTCAACCTGCTGTCCACACTGCTGGGGATGCAGCCCAGGACACAGGTGGTTTCTGGGCTACCAGTGCACATGGATGGCTTATATCCAGCTTTTTGTCCTCCAGCACCCACAAGTCCTTCTCAGCAAGGCTGCTCTTGATCCATTTATCCCTCAGCCTGTACTGATATGGGGGGATTGCAGGTATCCAGGTCCTTGGGTACCTGTGCTGCCTCTACCACCAGCAGCAAACACCCAAACAGTCACTCAGCAGAGAGAAGCCAGTGAGGCCTTTACCACGTGGGGAACATCTGTGGTGTTAAAAAATTTCCCAGGTTTACTCAAATAATGAAAGCAAATAAATTTAGCAGCCAGCAGAAAGCCCCTGCAGCCCTGAGTGAGCTCAGGGATGTGCTCCCCAGGTGCCAGAGCAGATCAGCGAGACTCATTCTGGAGGTGCCACAGACATTCTCAGTGGCTGCAGCACTCAGCCCTGCAGTGGGAGCAGTTGCAGGGTGCGGCTGTTGCCCCTCCTCTCCTGCCAAACATATTCTGCCCAGGAAGCACTGCTCCAGCTCAGCAAGGAGCCCCAGGCATCCTGCCAGCCTCCCTCACCTGCTGCCAGTGGCAGGACAGAAACTCTCTTCCCCCACACTCCAGTCTTTCTTTCTGCATCGTACATCACCTCAAGGAAACACCTTTTCTTGACCCCTCTGGTCCCAGCTCTCCAAGTTTCCTCTGTATAATAAGTCTTGCTGTTACCAGTACTTCTGGGGGTGCACTTTCTGGTCGCTGAGATACAGCCCACTGTCTAACCCCACCTTGTACTCCCACTCATCCTTCCACTGCTCTGCTCCAAATCCCCATTCCTTTGAGGAAGACGTGTTGTTATCCTGCCATCTGAAACCTGCTCATCCAACCTCATGCCAAGACTGGCTGTACTATGAGCCCATCTCGGTATCACTTTGTTTTGTGACTGTCATACTCCACAGTCTTGGCCACCCTGGAAGGCCAAGAAAGGCAACTTGCTGCCTCTTCTTCAGCAGAGGAAGGAAGGAAGGGCTGGGTCCTCAGAGAGGTCGGCAGAGCCACTACTTGTTTCAGAATCCAATTGGCAGGGCCTCTGCCACTTTATATTCATGAGATTGCTGTACCTCCCTCGTTTTACCCCCAATCTTGCCTAAATGAACAGAGCAATGAAGGAAGGTCTGCTGCTTTTACCTAGTGGACTATGGTTTCTTTCAAGTGTCTCCCCTACTTTCCTTCCACTCCTCAGAGAGCAGTACCATCAACCCAATGAGACAGGAAGGACTGAACAGGGAAAATTCAAAGCAAGAAACACAAGTAGCTCATTGGGAAGATGTTTTATGGAGATTAACAGACAGCATTGTAATCTAGAAGGGAGGTTCCTGAATAAGAACACAGTGGAAAAATAAAAATAAAAATAAAAGCAGTAGGATCTGCTAACATAGGTAAAGCAAGGAGACAACACTTCCTCACTTGGGACTTCACTTTACCATGTCTTACCCTTGCCAGTGCCCACAGATTAGTACAACACTTATCTCCTCCTCTTGCAGAGTTCTCCAACCTCATTGTGGTGGGAAAGGACTGCAATCTCTGAGAGCACCATAGACAGTGTCAATGCTGCGTCTGATCTGGATGTGCTCCAGGTTGTGACGAGACATGGGCAGACGACACATGGGCAGACGAGCTGGGAAAGCTGCAGCTCTGCAGAAGTGTCTTTGTGAACTTCAGTTTCTGAAAAACCTCATTATTTCAATGGAGATGTACAGCTGCCCTTGTTCTGAAGCTTCCTCCAGTCAGGCCCCCTGCAAACCTCAATCGCAGTCTGTGATGGAGATCCCCACCTTTCCTACACCCCTCCATTTGTTACACGCTTACCATTTGCTTCCATCTGTCAGCACATGATTGTTCACCTGGAAGGAGGAACGGCAACGGGCAATGAGCAGAGGTAGGAGCTTGTTCCCAGTCTGGCATTAGAAAAGTCCTTTCTACCACCTCATTCAGACCATCTCTGTCTATGAAATGGGGACTCCAAGTCAGCTTCACGCAGCCTTGAAACATAGTCACTTAATTCTTATAAAACATCAAGCATTGTACAGCTGCTGAGTGCCACTGCTGCTAACTCTGTAGTATCCTAGGGCACAGTGTGCAAGACCACAGCAATAGAACTGATCAGCATTCATATAGATATGCATATATAAATGATGCTACAAGGTTTTAATACACTAGAGAATAGGAAATAGGATCAATACAGACACAGACATTTATGAAGATTATTTTTTGTTAAGCATATAGAAATACAATACTATAAGCTGCCAAAGAGGGATGCAGTTTAAGCTGTCAATTTGAAGTATTTTCAGGAAATGTGTGCACTTACAAAACTTCCAAAAAACAAAACAAAACAAAAAACCCAAAACAAACAAACACCCTCCAAAACCCAAAAACAGAAGCAAACAACCCCCTCCCCAAGCAAACAAGCAAACAAACAAAACGCACAAAAAAGTCCCAAAACAATCCAAACCAAAACTAATTAAAAACTCAATTTCGGTAAAAAAGAAAAAATAAAAGAGGATATTTCCAAGCAGGAGAAAATGAGTTTTGCTACACCCAAGCTCAAAAAGAGTGGAAGACACAGTCCACCAGTTATATGCCCAAACAAGCTCTCTTCTTGAAAAAATTCCTTATCAATATACACTGTCATCTAATCACAAAGCTGAAGCAATAGGGAGACAGGGGAATGCTCTGGCTGTTCAGTAGAGGCCAACAGCAATGACAGGCAGGCCACAAAGGGTATGTCAGCTATAAGAAAGATTTACAGTGAAGTTGCAGATATCAAGCAGCAATAAACTGGCAGCAGGGAAAACTGGTGGAAACATGGACATTACCTGCCCTGTCCTGTGCATTTCAGCCCTCCAACACTTCCATGGCCGGCCTGGCTAAATCATTACTGTGACTGCAGACCCCACTTGCGCAGGAGCTGGGGTGAAGGGGGGTCTCATCAGCACTAAGAGCAAAGCCTACTTGTGAACAACCAAGGGCTGTTGTGTGTTGGAATACACAGCGATAAATGGGGATTGACGTCACTACTGTATCAGTATTACTGTGCTGACAGAAGGATGTGGTGAGGGGAGGTGATGAATTCAGGTCCAAACACCCACGCAATATTTATTACTGTACTGCTCTGATCTCTTACATGAGAAAAGGGTGGGAGAGACAATAAAAACTCACATAGCTAAAAGGTCATAGAGGGGCTGGTGGAATAAGACCCTTGCAGAGTGGAGGCATCAGTGTCATGGTATTAGAGGGCTAAGCCAAACTGCATAGCACAGCATGTGCCACATTGGAGACTGCCAAGCACCACTGTGCTCAGCTTCCATCCATCCCCAAAATGGCCCCAGGACCAGGGCAACACCACCAATCCTCAGATGACTGACAGTGATGTGGTCTGGCTCCTACACAGGTGAGGGGCTCACCCCTGCCGTACCTCATGCCTACAGCTTTTGTTTGGGCTGGGGCTCTGTGGGTTGCAAGGCTGACACTGAGGGAGGTCCAGCCAACTCACCTACACCTACCTTAAAAGGGGCTGCAAGGAGCCCATGCACACTTGTGTCCTCGGCCAAGAGGGAAATGAGCAGCACTATGGAGGGATTTGGCACACACAGCATAGTGTGGTGGTAGGAGGGTACAGAACAAGGAGCTGGAATAACCCAAGAAGACTGCAGCAGTAAAGCTGGCACAAAGCAGCAGGGTGAAGGATGAGGGGGCTCCACATTCAGCCCTCCATGCCTATGACCCACTCTTTTTCCCCATCTGGGAAAAACAGATGTTTTAGACCTTTCAGTCCAGGGCAAGTGGCTCTTGACCATGTTTTCCTGGTAGTTGCTGGTAGCTGGGCTGGTTGTGCTGTTAGGATATGCATACAGAAGATCCCATGACTTAGTGCAGAAGCTACTCCTCACAGTGTTTTGGAGCAGTCTCTATAAGAGACTAGCTCTCCCTTCTGTATGCTTTATGAATCACTTACAGGCACAGCGTCAGGCCCAAGCTTCTAGAAAAGACTTGCCTTAGCTGATGCTGCCTGTGGGTCATGGAGATTGTCACCACTGTTGGGTGCAGTGTGGGACAGCATAGGGTCAGTGAGGCTGAGCAGCTAAGCTAGACATTCCCTAGGCAGTTAGTAATACCTTTCTGTTGTGAGGATAGCAGACCAGGACAGTGGACTAGTTTTTACTCCCTGATTACACAGGACTCTCCAAGGTGTACCAGTACTGTTATTTATGCAGAGGAAGGAGGGAAAGGTATGTGATCAGCCTAAAGAGTGACAATCTGGCTGGCACAAACCACACTGCTTTTAAACCATGCAATTATATGCATTTGATATTAGAGATAATTTTTAAAACAAAACCACTGATGGCACTCTAAGACGAATAGCTTTATAAATTTAAATACATTGCACCTAAATGCCTGTTTTTCTCAAACTTAACTCACTAAAAGTGTAATCTCAGCCCAACTTGCAGTGGCAATATTCACCAAGAAGCAAGTGGGAAGGGCACACCAGGGAAGGCTTTGTAGATTCTGCTAGAGTTATTCATGACCCAAAAACATTTTGCTGTGACTGGAAGAAGGGTAGGTATCTGTAGGTATTTATCAGCAAGAATACATGCAGAGAAAATAACAATCAGAGCTGACAATTCCTTTCTGTAGGAGAGGGAACTAGTCACACTCGCAGTTATCAAGTTCATGATATGGGGAAAAAACTCCCCACACGCAGTACTACCTCTGTATTTTCTTCCTGTCACAATGGAGTTAAACCAGTATCCTCAGCACCATCAAAGATACAGACCTGGCATAACTCTAGGGTCAAAGGCACCTTTACTGGTTGGTGACATTTAGGAGGAAGATAATCATACATTACAATAGGTGAAAAATAGCAGGAGAACAGCTGAGATATGAGTAACAGTGTTCTAGTGGAAGGGAAAGCAACAGAAGAAACCACCTCAAAGCTCAGGAAATGGGCTAAAATATGAATGAGCCAGGCAGAAAGCGGAGGTGTTAGTCAGCAAAGCAGCAGGTTGAAAAACACCGAAGCTACCCAGGTGGTGGCTGTGAGCTGACACAGGATGCTGCAGGGGAGGGAGAAGTGCATTGCTTTCAGTCTGGGGAATGCTGAGTGCCATCTGCAGAGACCTCAGCACCCTGCCCTCCTGCCTCCCTTCTGCCTTTGCCAGTTTTCTGTAGCTGCCAACACTGGGCTCAGTCTCTTGTTTTCCCCAATATCCATCAAGTCTGAACCTGCATGAATTCTGCATGAAGGTTGTAGTAAGAGGACATCACTTTGGCTTCTGACAGAGAAAAAAAAGCTTACCTTCACAGAGCTGTGATTATGTATGTCTTGCACGCATGGAGGAGATTGCACAGAGGCTTGTATCTTCTCTTAGGAAATCACCAGACACATTCTGGTAAACAGAAACAGGAATGACTGTGCCTGTGAACTCACTCTGACCATCTGGAACAGAAACCTACAGCTCTGTTCAGGCTCAAACCCAACTCCCTGCACCATGCAAAACATCTCTGCACGAGGTCAGCAAGGCTGTCATGCATTCCCACAGAGCTCACCCGAGTCAGCAGAGCTGGCAGAACTCCTTTCTCTGTTCATGCACGTTGGCAGAGCCTGACCCTGTTAGAAGCAACATCTATCATGTTTGTCTCCAGATCTCTGCAAACAAGGGTGCACCAAGACCAGAGCTCTACTGCTGCCACATAGCTATTTATGGCAAGAGCCTCACCTGGATCCAATGGAGCTTTAGTTTACCAGAGCTGTCAAAAATCAGCATGTCCCACTTACGGTGCCTGGCTGCAAAGCTTCACAGCAGCTCTTCCACACCTGGGGCTGGATGCAGCAGTGGAGTGTGCCTCGGGTGGCTTCTGGTATCTCTTACAGGGAGAGAAACACACCAGCTGTCTTCAACCTCTGACTGTGGCAGCACATTTAAGCAAAGCAAAGAGATCACACGGCACACAGCAAGCTGCAGGGGATGGCTGGCTGTGTCCCTAAACCACAGAACACACAGTCCTGACACAATTGGTGACTTCTCATGTTACTGGCAGCAGTATACAGTGTCTGTAGAAGAAAAGGTGAGAAGGTGGTTACTTCTCAGAAAAGCCATCACTGTAGACCCCCTCTGCTACAAAATCTTGCTATGGAAACCCAATATAGGAGCACAGCTGAAGGTTTTCAAGTCATAGGAACAAGAAAGGTGACTTGACCAGAAGTGGGAAGAATCCATGATGCTTCTGGACACCCCTGCTGTCTGTAGCAGGGGGCCCAGCACAGCTCAGAATGAGGCCACAAAATAGGCAGCACACGCCAAACTGTGGGTCCTAATTCCTGCTCTAGTGAAGGAAACAAGGCACATCATGGCTTCATTGCCCCTGTCGTGTTGTGTAGGAGCACACTATGTGCTTTTGGAGCACCTCAGCCAGGCAGCAGAGGGGACAGACCACCTAGCAGCAAACTGCCCTGCACAACCTTCAAGCCCAGGGCCTCCCAGACACATGCACTGGTCAGCATTTGCAGCACAGTATGAGCCAGCTCCTCTAGACCTCAGCTGGCTACTCACCACAGGCACTGCCTCCATGGCCAGTGCATTTGTGGTCCTCACAGCAACTCTACGGTATCAAGACAAGAACTGGGGAGTGGTTATAACCCTGAGCCAGATGTGGAAATTCTACCCCCAGAACACAGTCTAGTGCTTTCTCACCTCATTATAGTTCTTTCTGCTGTGTGGGTGGCTCACTGCAAGTGAAACCAGCAGTAGCTGAGCTGGGGAAAAGCAGCCAACCTCAAACTCTTCAGCTTACAGCAAATTTCCCCATGTCTAAGAGCTGGGGAAACAGCAGCAAGTAGGAAAGTCCCAGTGCTACGTATTAGTCACCAATTCAGTAAACTTCAAGCAGAGGACAAACATCATCCTGCTACGAATGCCCTACTCTTATACAACGGAGCATGATGAAGGAAGCAGCTGATCCATCACTGAACTGGGACAGGAGCCCCTCTGGATGCCTGTCACACTCCATGGACTGGGGCAGGTCTAGCACCGTCATCTTTCTACCAAAGAAAGGCAGTGGCTCACTGTAACAACTTTCACCACGACAATTGCCACTTTGCATTCAGAATACAGGAACTTAGGTCTCCTGTACATATGGTCAGAGTTTTACAGGGAGTATTCTTGCTAAGAGCTAAAAAAGAAGTAAACAGCTGCTTCTCCCATCATTCAACTAAATGTGCCACAGCAGCCAGTTCCCCATTCTGTTGATCTAAGGCTGCAGCCGTTTTTTTTTTTTCACTTTCATCCTGTAGGCTTGCTGGAGGGGTAGACAGTCAGTGGTATGGAAATTTCCATGTTATAGAAAAACAGGACAGCAAAAGGGACAAAAAGAGAAAAGCACCTTGAGATGCAAAGCTCCCCTCAGTGTTGCTTTCTCCGCTTGTCACAAGGAATGAGAATGCTCAGGACTTAGCAAACCAGTGGTGCTGCTGACAGCTGTTATTAGACACTCTGGGAAAACACTCTGAGGTATGGCAATTCAGTAAGCTTTAACTCTGTTGTGTTAGTGAGGTACCTGGAAAGTGCTCTCTTCCTCACCTGTTTTTCCTTTGCTTCGGAACAATCTGCTTTGAGAGATGACAGTCCTGCACCTGCAAACCAGACCAGTTCACTGGTCTCTCTGCTGTGACTGCCAGCAAGTTCCTGCTGAGCTGTTGCTTGGCTTCCGACCTCGTCACTGCAGCGCAGTTGGAGGGGCCTTGAGGGCTGTGGATGTGGCTGCAAGGGCTGATGAGACACTGACAGCACAACATGGCTCAGTCACAGCAGAGTGGTGAAAAAAAACCAAATTCCAAGTAATGCGAGATCATGATACATCATCACATGGGAGCCTGGGGCAGACCTTGTACTCAGCAATCTGCACAGGTGGGAAATGATCCATGTGTGTATTTGTGCATGTCCACACGTGCCTGGGCATTGCACACACACAGTTCCCCCAATATTAGTAAAAAACATGTATGTCTTCTGAAAGCAACACACTTTAGAAGCACCTCTGTCAGGGCTAGAACACAAACTGCACAAGTGTCATGGTTTTGCCATGTTCCCTAAGGGGTTTTCTACAGAAAAGACATGGCTAGGAGAATGAAAACTGTCCTCTCAGCCTCTATTCACTAAGGAGTTTTGACACGATTCCACCATCAGAGATAAACCTTAGGGAACAGCATTTTGGATGTCACAACCCTCTCATTTGATTCTCTTAACACTTTGTTCTTTTGGCCCTATCACTGCAACACTTAAAAAGAACCGGTTTTCTTAGATAAAGCTCATGGTGGATGAACACCTGGGCATCCTTGCATCCTGCCTCAATGATGCAGGGTCACAAAGCAAGATATAGAGGCATGTTATTTAAAAAGTTGACCCTGCCCTAAATTAACTTGTCCCTACCCCCAAGAACTTGACTCCACATCCTCAAGCTCCTGCTCCATACTAGTCTTGTGGTTATTGTTAGTTTTCCACAGGTGATAAAAAAACCTTGTGATCGATGGGAATTTGCCAACACCTGATCCGTATAGCTGCATATTTCCAAGGAGCCAACACTGCTCAGAATAGAAACAAAAAAAATCTAAGCCTGGGGCATTTCTGCAATGGAAAAAGTGTGTCGGAACTAGCTACTCCTGAACTGGGAATGCACCAGCTTATTTTCTCGGGAACCTATTTCACTCATGGTGAGTCAGGTCGCTAATATTTGGTAGGCAGCCAGGTGAGAAGGATGTGGAGGTGGAGTGATTGTGCAAGAGTAATAAATGGCATTACAACTAGGCTAAAACTTGGCACAAGCCTCCACTTGTACTGCAGCCTTTCAAAATGAACTGAAAACCACTGAAAATCTTACTATGATCAGTAATTCTTTGTCCTGGGAGGAGCCCTCCACTAGCAAAAAATACATGCCTGGAGGGTTCCAGCCTCCAGGAAGGAAGCTTCTCTCTCAGGACGGTGAGCTGCCTCTGCAGGCACTGGGTGGTCCCCAGGTGGTGAGCTCAGTTCAGATCCTTCAGTGCCGGCCCAAAGCCACAACTCCCATATACTACCCCGGAGGCAGATCACCGGTCTGGGATAAAAACCTGTCATTTGAAACCTACCTGGGTTTCATAGCCTGGCAATTGCTCTGGATGGCAAAGGGCAGGGATGGAGCATGGAAAGTGAACTCACCTCCCACGGTAGCCAGGCCCCATGTCCGTTGCAGGACGGGGGGGAGCCAGATAGCTGTACCCCAGCCCCGCTGCCCATCTCCAGTTCTGGTTTATAAGAAGGCATAGGAACAGGGATCCCCCATCTCCAAGAGCTAGAGTTCAATTTCACCAGAGAAATATTGCAGGGAGAGAAAGGGAAGAAAGCCATCTGATGTAAATGTACAGACCAGAGGGCATAGCTATGCAGAAGAAAAAAAGCCAGGGAAAGGAAGAACAGAGCTGGGGCTTAGCAGAGAATCAAGTGCTACAGCAAACAGCTTTTCAATCCCGGCCTGAGCAGACCTCTCCAGCCAAGCACAAGGCTTTCTGCAGGATTTCACAAAGAACACAAGGAAGAGCACAAGAATAGAAGGGGAAGAAAGCACCACTGGTGTCCCTGCACCTCCCAGAACATCCCTGTGCTACTAGAGTAAACAGTGAGTAACCCATTCCAGGCAGCAGTATTAACTCCTGGATTTTGCTTAAACTTGACTTTGTGGAGTCGGCTTACTTATGAGGCAGACCATGGCCTCTCTGCATCCTGCTGTTTCACTGTTTCAGTGCAGCTGTGGCTGATAGGTCCTAAAAAGCATCTTCCTCTGTGTGTCTCACAGCCTCCCACCTCACAGAATTTGTGATGTTAATTACAGCAGTGATCACTCTCATGTAAAGAAGAGTATTTCTGACAGAATGAAACCTCTCCTAAGTGAAAATAAAATTTAATCTGACATTTTTGGTTAAAACAAATAAATTACATGTTCATCAGCACCTTAGCTACAAGCAGGAAGATCTTCCACTAACCACCACCATAGTGAAAGTGAGCTACAACCCAGTGCCTATACAAATATTAACTATCCCATCTAAATACAGATACATTGCAGGTCTCCTTCCTGGGCTTACATACCATTTTTTCAGTGTTGTAAAATTGATGACATTACCTCTACTACTTGGCCAACTTGGAAGAGAGATCTGCAGTACAAAAATTTTACTTACAAAATACGTTAAAACCAGTTGCTGTGTTTAGCATTATGGTTTCCTTCCTTACAAACGGGAATACATTCTAATGCACAAAACATTACTTGATGGTTCTTAACTGTTTTGTGCCACTGCCAGCATACTAGGGTGGAATTTACCACACCAAAATATATGATAACACTGTAGAGAAGTTCGGCGTTGTCAGTAAAATTTCTTGAATAATTATCTAACAAGAAGTATATACAGCCTTTAAGTTGCGTGCATAATCCCCATTCCAACTGAACAAGAACAAGAAGCTAAAAAAATGTTTCATGAAAGTATGGTGTTGGACCACACATTAGATAAGCTTTCTGGGAAAACATTGCTTAGGAATGTCTGATGCCATTTACAGCTGCAGAAGTATGAAGTAATTCTGCTTGCTTTTACAGAATAAGAAACTAATGACCAATAATAGTACTGCGTAAGCCCAAACGACAGTACTCCGTATTCCACGCCTTGATTGAGCAGGTATGGAAGTATACACCCCATGCTAGGGTGAGGCACACAGGACAACACCCCCTCCCCCAAAAGAAATAAGTTATGGAAGATGTGTACTAAGTCAGTCACATCCCCTTTGACCTGCACCTATGTCCCAATTCCACATGTGTCAGCACCTTCCACATTACTGTTGTGTGCTTCCCAAGCAACAAATAGCTAAGGCAATAACCACAGGAACTATACTAAGAACTCCTGTTTCCTGTAGCTGTTGCTCCCTTTTAGAGATCACTCACAACTTCACACTTCAGCTCTGGCTTCACCCTAGTAGAGCTGCTGGGTGCCATCCCCAACTGTCCCCAGAGGCCTGTACCATGTCCTGGCTGCCAGTCCCATGCAAGCACTAGTGCTATAACCCACTGAATCATGTGGGACCTATAGCAGCCCTCATTTCAGTAAAGATTGAAATAACAAGCAACATTTCAATTTGCCATACAGTTTATTTCAAAGGCTCACTCAGTCTCGGCTCTCAGCAAATGTAGCTAAGCTACTTCCATATAGCAGTTGTCCTCTTGGGCAAGGGCTTGCACAAGTTCAATTTTTTTCTCATTCTTCCTGTTGTTTTCCCTTAACAGTTCTATTGGTCTTTTTTTAATGGCAAGTGCCAGTCTGCAGTCCTCACTGTGAATGGTGTGAGAATCAGAACGACTAGAGTTATTCACAAGACAACAAGGCGACAGCTTGTCTGAGATGTGGAGCTCCACGGGCTCTGCAGTTTTTCTGCCTAAGTTTAGCTCAGTGCTGTCCAATGATGCTGGTAAGCTGGCTGCTGAGCCACTCCCCTTCCCTTCTACATGCTTCAGCATCTCTTCACTTCCCTCTGCATCTCCAAGTTCCCTCAAGTGGCTGTGTGGGTGGCAGTCAGTATTCAGTTTGTTATTGTTGCTCTCTTGCATTACTTCGCTAGTAGGGTTAAAGCTGTTCTGTTTTGTCCCCTGTGTAGTTCTTCCTCTGCTGTTTAAATCTTGACAGTTCAGCTCTAACAAATGCAACCAGTGTTCCTCTCTGTTGCTATTTTCATCATTGCTATCACTAGATAGCTCATTAGAGCTATCGATACAAGGGCTGCCATTAATGGTCTGTGTGTCATTCTCACTAGAGGCTAAATCTGGGACAATGCTGCAATCAGGACTCTGAACAGTCAAACACACACAGTCCTTTGTCCTTAGGTCAAGTTCACAGATTGCAGTATCTGGAGGTGCTTCTTTGAGATTGTTGCACAGACCAATGAAGGGTTCATGTAATGAAACAACCTCACTGTCACAGTATGGACCATTACATTTACCTGCACTATCAAAAGGCTGATAACTTGATGGCTGAGGTGCAATAGGGCATGAAATTATATTGGTTTTCTTTGGAAAATTTTCATATATTACTTGCTTATGTATTTCTTCCTCTGATAGGAAAGCTGAAGCACCTTCATTTGCACGTGCGGAGAAAGATGGAAAATCAGTATGCTCTGAACAGGTGTTTGGAAAGTCAAGCTCAGCGTAGGGAGATCTGTAGTTGGTGTAACATGTCCCATTGCCAGCAGGTTGAGCAATTTGACCTCTACAGCTGTGTTCTGGTACCTCTGACAATTGTCTTGGAGGCTGTGAGGAACATGCACTTTCAAAGCACAGAGTCAGGCTACTGCTGGCCATGGAGTGCGACATGAGGGCATTGAAGCTCCTGTAGGCAGAGCCACAGGGCTCCAGGGATGGTGACAAAAGGGTGTCACAGTTCTTGTAGGCAGAACTACCGGGCTCCACAGATGGCGACAAAAGGGAGTCAAAGCTCTTGTAGGCAGAACTACCGGGCTCCACAGATGGCGACAAAAGGGAGTCAAAGCTCTTGTAGGCAGAACTACCGGGCTCCACAGATGGCGACAAAAGGGAGTCAAAGCTCTTGTAGGCAGAACCACAGAACCTCATGGGTGCAGACAAAAGGGTATCAAAACCCTTGTTTGCAGGGTTGTTTATTCTGTCTGTTTTGGTCCCAAAGAATGGTTTATTTGTAGATTCCTGGATCAGGACACAAGAGGCCTGCTCACTTTCTGAACTGCATAGAAAAAGGCTTTGATGAACCATTTGTTGAAGATCTCTTGCATCCAGAGAAGCAGAATTTATGCTGGAGCTCTGATAACCAGATTCAAAGGATTCTTCCGACAGTTCTGACTCCTTGCTGGATGTACTACAATTGTAGTCATCTTGAGAGGCTTTGGTGAAAAGAGAGACTGTATGAGAAATACCACATGGCCACTGATTCTGGGCTGTGCTTTCTTTTGGATTTCGCTGTGATGGATTTTCCAACTCAAGTTTCTTGAAGGTCTTCCTCTCACCTGTGAGGATGTCTGGGTCTTTATTGTCTTGCATGTTATTTTCATCTGCCAGGAGCGCATCAAACATGTTAGCTAGTGCCTCATTGTGCTCTCTGAAAGCACTGATGCTGCTCTCACAAGGCTCAAACATGGTGATCTGGTCACCAGTCTCTTCCTGGCTCCCGGTTTCACTGTCTGTTAAACATTCACAGATTTCAATAATGTCTTCAAATGGAGTTGTATCAGGGGTTAAAACTGCATTAATGCCTTTTGGCAACGACTCTCCACACTTGCTGTGGCAGCTGCAAGATTTCTCAACATTTCTGATGTTATCTTTTCCCTTGAAGTTTTGGCTCGACAAACTTTGAGCCAGACAGTTCTTGCAACTTCTGTTTTTGGAAGTCAAAAGGAAAGGACAGTTAATGTTTATGTAACAGGAAACTACTTTATGCTGTAAAGCAGATGTGTATTTTTAGTATCTTACTTACATTTGCTTTTCCATATGAGTCTGCTTTAAGTCATGGAAAGGGAACTTAATTTCATCAAAGTAGGAGAAAACTGAAAACTAATAAGGACACAAATGAGATTTAGGACACATATGAATTGTATCTAGTATCCCCTGCACTAGACAGACAATAGCACTTATTACACATTCTACTTCTGGGGATCAGGAAAAGGTATTTTTTGCAAAGCTTTTAAATTACCTTGACATTTTTTACAACCAAATGGCTCTTTGCTGGATTTGGGATTTCATCCCACCATTCTTTCTTCACTCTGCAAAGGAAGAATGAAAATTGTTTGCTTTGACCACTTGGGCTTCATCAGTGTATACTTCCCTCTTCTGTTCTCCTCTCCCTCTTACGCATCTGCATTGCAGCAACAGGAAGTGCTTGTTCTGTACATCTCCAAGTGCTGCTTTTCATTAAACCAGTGCAAAGATGTTTGTATGTTTGCTATGTGACTGCTCTGCACTATGCAAGTCACATGTTCTCTTAATCTTCTTCTAATGTTTGAAATTATCTGTGAAAACAGGTAGGATCTCACTTTCACACTATCACTAAAAAAAATTTAAAAGAAATAAAGACATTTAACCACCATTACTGGAACTCCAGCAAAACTGACAAACCCATACTATAACAAGACCATTCTAGTAAGATTAAGAGACTATTCAGAAAATGACAAGAGCACAACTGATTCATTTTTATAAAACCTCTGCTCCTGTACTAGCAGACATTTGGCTTATCAATAGCAATACTGAAAGCTGCGTAAGCTGTTACTCTATAAACCCTGAGCCAGTACGATACGTACTTTGTAAAACAGAAGTAGCAAATGACAGATCCTGCCATGATCAGTATGCAGGATATGGGCACAGCCATCTGCAGAATGTCTTCAGCTGTCACTTGATAATCTGTGAAAAAAACCCCAAACATTTACATGTGAGTGTGCATCTGAATAAAAGCACTAGCAATACCAAATTCATTGTTGCTCTTCTGCACCTTAAAAAAATGCTCCTTTTGAGCCTCCAGCAGATAAACAACAGACCCCCATAGGTCTGCCATACTGATGGTGTGTGTTGTGTCAGAGACCAGCAAATGTACTGTGACTAGTTACTTGGGAGTGTCAGGAGCTGGGAGATCAGATGTGCACTGTGAGGCCCAGGAGTTGCCTTTTTATGGTTAGTGTCTTTGGAAGCCTTTACAGATGTATTCACGTTACATACAAAATGATGAACATGATGATTCTGTAACTTTACTCCAAGAGGAGAGCAGCAGGATATGAAGACTATACCATCCTTTTCCCAAGCTGCTATTTCTGACAGCATTACCATAGTGAAATTCAACTTCTTCACTCCATTCACTCCAGTAGGCCGGGTAGTCTGTGTAGTTACACCTGAGACTTGCAACGTAATCATACCCCCTCCTCAAGGAGCTTGCCGTAATCTCAAAGCTTTTTGCCTGGTAGTTAATTGCTTTTACAGAAACCTGAAAAGAAAGTGAGAAAGTTCACTTTGATTTCTTTATAAGGTGAAGGGTTAGTGATGGCAACTAAATACCAATAGTGCTATGTGTTTCAGTAATCTTTCACAAATGAGCAATTGAATAACTGTGTGTAACACTGCAGTTTGCTGTCATCAGCAGGTATCTGTGACATACCACCATGCATGCTCTTCTTCTACCAGAAGCAGCCCAGCCCTAAAGCACTGGATTGTTCAGGAGGGGGTCTTAAGTGCCTCAAGTGCTCCTTGGAGGCACCAATAGCCTCCAGCTTCCTGATGTCTAAGGAGCTAATGAAGTTCAGGGAACAGAAGCACTGCATTTTCAATCTCTGACTACTGCAAGCAGCAGACCATTATGGGGTGTCAGTCTGAACAGTTTCAGTCCTTTAACACCCATCTGATTCACCTTGGGGCAAGTGACCTTGAGATTAGATCAGTTGGTTAAAACTTGGTGCTAATAATGCCAAAGTCATGGGTTCAATCCCCTGTATGGGCCATTCACTTCAGAGCTGGACTCGCTGATCCTTGTGGAACTCAGGATGTTCCGTGATTCTGTATGATCAGGAACACTGTGGGACTTGCCCTTGCTGGCCCTTACACCATTATTCATGAAGTGGTTGCAAGACTTTTCTGAGTACTTGTTAAACCTGAAAGCTCCAGAGAGACTGAAAATGAAGAGTCTACTGGCTGTGTCTTACCTCCATTGGGTGCTGCTTCCTCCAGTATTTCAGTTCATAGATGACCGGCTGTCCAAAGAGCGTGGATTGAGAAGAGTAGTTCTCCTCCCAGCTCAGATTGAAATTACCATTTTCAGCTTTCTCAATGGCAAGATTTTTGGGGGCCCTTGGCTTAACTGTATGTTAAAATACAATTAAGGAGAACATGGAGAGATCAGAGTGACAAGCATTCACCACAGACCAGAATATCATCACAGTTAGTGCACTTAGCCCTTTTCATTCTGCTGTAGCACAAGGATAAAGAGGCCAAACCAGAGCAGCTTTAAGGAATTTATTAACAAGCACTGATTCTTCAAGCTGGCTAAACAAGCTGCAAGTATACCCTTTTGGTGCACTGGATGCAGCTTTCAGCCTGGAGAAATGAGAACAGCCTGCGCTCTGACAGGAGCAGCTGTGGAACAGCCAAGCTGTCCTGGCTCCCTGTCTCCTGGAAACCGAGGCAGGTTCCTGCTTCTCTGGCTGATAAGCAGCAGCAACAACCTAGTATTCTGAAGTGAACCAACTCCTTGGTCTGCCTTAAGGTATGTGAGTGATTTCTCCGAGTGTTTGAGGTGACAAGCGTTACCAATGCGCACACCGTTCTGATCAAACTGGGAGCCTAGGGAGAGATGTGAACTATATCTACAACCTGTCCTGTAAGAAAGCAGATTTATGCACTTTTAATCACTGACTTATAATCTAACAGCAATTACTGTAAAAAAATCTTATGTTCATGTGGTATGATTTAACTTGCATGAAATATCAGAGTATGACAGAGACAGAAATGGAAGGAGTTTCAGTAGGGACAGCCTAGTGTCTTTCTAGAAACTGAAAGTAACACATTCCTCTTCACCCTGTAATTCTACAGTCACACATAAAAAACATTAAAATCTAAGACCCCAAACTGCTGCTGGCTCACAGTTGAGAAGGTACAGCTAGAGAGAGAATCACTCCCTGCTTTCCCCATTACTTATACTCATTCCTTAGAAAACTGATTCTGGATTAGATTCCTAAGACAAACAGATCTTGCATTTAAGACGGCATGGCACCTTTCACCTCTGATAAGGAAAAACTTCTCTGGTAACATCAATGAGGAGTTAGCTAGGATTGCAAAGCCTGGAACCAGATATCTAAACAACTTCTTACCAACAAGGGCTGGTGTAACGTTGTAGTTCCATATATCAGTCCCATTGAACTGTAGAGCTAAAACATACGTGAGGCCTGACACAAAATAATCTGAACGTATTGTGCAAGTGCACCTTAAACTGTCTTCTCCATTCTCAGGAACACACACGTTTCTGAAAAACAGGCACAAAATTATGGGATGTTTAGAGAGTGTGACACACTATTCCTTGAAAAGGTGAAATCAAGGTTCCCAATGTGTAGAGCTAATCAAATCTGAGACAAACAAACTCAGTTCCTGGAAATGTTTCCAAATCAAAACTGAGATTCCCAAACAACTGAAAAACTTGACAGAAAGTCTAAGGACTGATCCCAAGAGGAAAAATTACCACTCTTTGTCACACTTCAGTCTCTGAAAAAGCAGACTAACAGCTTGTTAGTATAGGAATAGGCTTACTGCAGTGTATGAGTGAGGTTATTTGGATGTGGGTTTGGTGAAACGATACAGAGAGGAACAGGAGAACCCAGATCTTCCTTTGCAGAAGATGGTGACTGGCCCTGCTGCAGAACAGGCACACAGTCTATGCCTGAACATAGAGTTAGACTGCACGCAGACAAAATCACCTGGGCTCCAAGGGACAGTACCTTTCACACAGGCTTCAGACTGGTAAATCAGTTACGATTTCTCAAGAAGAAGGTAAAATTTTGCACGAAATGAGGGTTTTGTTAAGTTGTAAGAGCCCTAACACTCCTACCAGTAGGATCCCTCCTCTGTACTAAGAGAACAGAGAGTTCTGTGGAAGATTAGGCCACTGAACAGTGTGCTGTTAATTGTAGCAACCCATTTAACTCCTGGCAAGAAGAATAATCTGAATTACATTTTGTCCCAGACACCAACGGTAGAGGGAGGGATTTAAAGCCAATAGTGACTACAGGATATACGAAGCTCCAACAATGGCAGTGTAACATCTTATTAAGCACTTACGACACAGAAATCTCCTTGCTGTAGCTGAGCAGGAATTCTTTGGAGCAGTTAGTTTGTGCAGGCACCTTCCAGTGACAAACCAGCTCTTTGTCAAAGTCAGTGAAGCATGCAAATTCTTGTATGTGTCCTGCAGTCATAACTAGGGAGAAGCAGCATACAATGAGAAGGAAGAGAATCAGAAAAATGAATTGAACTAAGCAGAAACATTAGCTTTTTCATTTAAATAGAGTTACCAAACCCCTGTAAATTAACTGAAAGCATTATTATCTTTTGAGTCTAGGTAAATGGCAAGAGGGGCATGTCACCAACTGTCTCCACCTTTCTGGAGACAATGTCTATGATCTTGGAGAGAAAGAGTCTGCAATAGTAATTTTGAAATAAAAAGGCACAACTCATCCGACACAGACTTATAAGCACAGAATATCTAATTCCAATAGCTTTATGTAAAACATGTCAGCATTTAATTACAAAACCACATAATCCCATCTATTAAATACAGAAGGCTCAAAACCCAAAATGCACATAATTAACAGTCAAGACCAGGATCACTGTCTACAGGTATGACTCATGCTTTACCTATAATGGTTCTAAGCTTCCCAAATGCATGTCTTCTGCTTCCCCAGAGCAGCTCCCCAGTGCCTAGATGATTTTCCCGCCACAGACTTTCTTCTAGTATACACTTTTCTTCATTTCACCCAGTATTTTCTGTTCTGTCTTCTACTTGCAACTGTTATGAGCATTTGGAGCCCAGGAGAGACTGAGTCACAATGTGCCAGGCACTGGGGGGGATGGTACAGGAAAGCCAAAAGTCTCTGCACTCCCCATGTTCAAATTTATAACCTCTTTCACTGTCAGTATTTAAGTAAAAAATACACAATCCTCAGTATCCCTTCCAGGCTCACTTCCTACTATTTCAATGCACTCCACGTAAGTGAGACATGGAACAGAAGAGGAAGAGCTATGTGACAGTAAGGTCATGCTGTTATTTGGACTAACAGTGAGCCAACCCTGGTACTGGAGTGTAATCATTTCTCACTGAAGTAGTCAGAAATAGCTAATACTTTTATTATCCCAGACAATTACTTGTCTTTTCTGATGTTTGACTTCTCTTTTATTGGTAAATAATACCTTTCTTTTTTTGCACAAGTTGTGCAAATATAAATCCTTCTTTCCTATATTACATTTCAGCAAGTTAAACTTCTGCAACAGTTTAGCAGTCACACTGCTTTTTTATTTTAAAAGAATCATTATCCTGTTGGTGTTGTTTATATTTGGTTGCCATTTGTAATTTTATTGGTAGTTTTTTTTCCATTTTAAAATGTACTTCTGCCAGAAGTACTAACATTTTAAGTCCTTTAAAGATGAACATTATTTTTCAATGTGTTAATGATCTTATGCTTTCAAGAATACTTCAATTAAATGAAGTTTTTCATGCTGTGTTAAGCTATGATGATTAACAGCTTTACTTTATCTTGCTTTTCAGTGTCCTCATGTCTTTCCAGAACTCTAAATTATATTCTCTACTCTTTTGCTGTGACCTTCTCGCTTTTCCATCTCTGGTACACCATATTTTTTTTTAAACCTCAGATATTTGAGACTTTCCTTCTGAAATTACATACAGTACAGAACTTATTTTGAGTTAGTGTTATTAAAAAAGGGAACTGAAATATTGAATTTCTTGTTTAATCCTCAAATGGTACAGCATGTTGAAGAAACTTAAAATATGTAGTTAACTAGGCAAACAAATCCAAACAAAACACTGTAAAATTAAACTTTGATATAGATCATTTATAGAAAATGTGGAATTACCCAGATCAGACAACCAAACCAATGCACTCTCGCAAACCTTGATGCTTCTCCTTAATTCAACTGCACTATTTCATAGTACATAAGACAGTAGCTAATAAATCTTCATGTTTTTAGAGACAGGTTACTTTAAATTGTCTTTTAACTATTTTGATTTGCTTCATAAAACAAAATGAGACCTAAGAAACTGCAGACACTGCAAAACTAGTAAAACAAATTACAGCAAGCAAAATGTACCGTTCGTTTCCCAGAGAATAAAAATGCATTACTGAAAACCATGACTTTATATATCTAAATTGTAATCAAACATCATAAAAGATGCAAGGAAAAAACATGGTTATATTCAGCCTCTGCTAGTTGAACTTGACAAAATAACCCTTAACGACCAGCAGTACTCAGACTCAACACCTCCTGCCAGGCCGACAGCACAGCTGGGACATTTCGGATCCTGTTATTCCTCCACCCCTGCGCAGGTACAAGTCACAGCCAGGGCCTGCCAAATCTGTTCAAATCCAGGGAACTACAAATAATAATAATGGCCAGTCTTCGCGAGCGAAGATCCAGGGAAGATCTTTACACCTTCCAGCCTGCGCATTGGATTTTTTAGGTGAGACACAGTGTGCGCGGAACTGAGCCCACCCTTTAATCCTAAGGTTCATCTGCCGGGGCCAAGCGAGCTTGGACAGTGGCAGTGAGGTCCTTAGGACGTAGGTGGGTTGCCTTTAAGGGCTAACGAGCCCCACCTGCCCGGGAGTGGCCCTGACCGGGAATTGAACCCGGGTCTCGGCGGTGATAGCGCGCGCCTTTACCACTAGACCACCAGGGGCTCCACAGTGGCATAGAGAATTCAGGAATTTCATTAGGAGTTACTTCAGTATTCCTTTAGCGGTTTTTCCTGCCTGTGCTTCATACCAGAGAGGAGAAGCTCAGGCCTCCTGTGCCTGGGGAAGGAGGCCAGGCAGTGAAAGCCTCCCACAGGTATTATAGATTTCACAGAATATTCTGAGTTGGAAGGGACCCACAAGGATCACTGAGTTCAACTTTTAAGTGAATGGCCCATAAGGGGATGGAACCCACAACCTTGTTACTATTAGCACCATGCTCTAACCAACTGAGCCCATCTCAGAGGTGTCCAGTGCAGATCAGATAATGCGGAAGGAGATGACTTTCCAAACCTGTTTCTCCTTTCCACAAATTTCTAATTTTTCTAGACCCTATGGAAAAGTTCAATGTAAAGAAAAAAATCTAAGAATTTATTCTAGTATAAGGCTATTTCTGACATTTGAAGTTACAAATTTTATAGTAGTTAATTAGCGGTAATAGTGTTGCCTACTGGTCATGGAAAAATGCTGTCAATCAAAACTTCAGTATAATAATCTAAAATATTGACAAACATACCTTCATTTGTTGTATATGAAAAGAAAAGGATCCAAAGGGTATATGGCGCAGCACTTGGGAGTCTTGCCATCATTGACACTGGTCCGGTTCAGCAGGAAAAGCTGTTATGCAGTTCTGCCAACAGCAAACATTATTATGAGCTTACATCCCTGTGCTAGTAGTTAAGGTAAGGGTGTATTGTAGTATTTCCTATCACTCTGCTAGATGCAAGGATTCAGATTCTCTGCTGTGCCTGCTTCCCAAACCCTGCACCTAAAATGAACTCATGAACGAGACATGTAGAAGAATAAGGAGAATACAAATCAGCTAAAAGACTTTTCTGCGAAGTTTTAATGACAGAAGATACAAGACTGACATTGGCAGTGGACCTACTCTCTTCACCTACTAGAAAAGGCAAGCTGCTAGCATGTGAGCTACTAAAAGCATAAGCACTTGACCAAAATCAGTGACATTGTCACCAAAGCCCTATGATTCCACTCAGATAAGTGAAAGAATTTAACAATAAAGTGTCTGGTCTATTGACTAAAATGTTTTCCTCAAGTCCTATCACCTGTAGGTTGATAATATGGGTATCACCCTCTTGAAAAAAATGTTAGCAAAGAACCCTGAGCATTGCTCCAACAGAATGCAGACTCATTAAAACAGTAAATAATTAGAGGTTGTAAAGCACATACCTAATCATGGTATAACTAGCTAAACTTGGGAGAAGGAAAATTATGCAGCTTTTACTTATTAGAATTCCTTAAGCCTAGTAAAGCCATTTATTTAGATAAAGTGAAAATAGGTGAAATAATTAACTTTAGACTTTAAAAAAAAAAAAAAGAAAAAAAAAAAAAAAAAAGGCATGTTTCCCAAAGAGTTTTTTTGCTGATGCAATGCAGCCACTTAGTGGAAGTCCATATTCTGCATAAACTATGGCTACCAGCTTTCAAATCACTACAAATGGATGTGAGGCATTTAAAATTTTGGTGTATTTGCAGGTGAAGTTATGCTATTGGCTTTGCATTCAGTATAAAGAGGGATAAAATTTGTTCAGCAGCACATTGTTAACAACTTTTTGGTCCCTTCCTCTCATGCTCTTAGAATTTTCTAACCTCCATGTCAGGACAGTGTTCTTGCTGTCAGTGAGCTACAGCTGCTCTGTTTACATCTGTAAAGTTCCCAGGTGGCACATTAATTTTTATTTCAAAGCCTCATGATTTTCTCAGTGTGACAGAGTAAAGAGGAGAGAATTCCTCAGAAGATCTCCATCAGCAGGAGAGAGGTGTTGGACATTCTGCAGAAGCTTTGTCAGATTCTGAAGTAGCAGAGATCACTGGAAGGTATTTGTGGATGGCGGATGGATACCCTCTGCCCCAACCACAGAGCACCCTTCACATGTCTGAAAAGGCAAATTCCACCAGCATACAAGAGGAGAGAAACTGGTGAGGGATCAGAAACTCTGCTGCCATATAAACTCTTTAGTTATTAGCATAGGGAGAACATAGCGACCATCTGGCAGGATGCATGTGGGCACTGCACCCAGGAGAGGATGTGCAGAGTACCAACACCATATACCTCAGGGAACTTCTCCTGAAACTGGTAACATTCTCTAACACAGCTGTTGAAGATTTGTTGTCAAATATTCAAATACATTAAACACAAAGTAGGCAACAGCCAGACTCTTCCTCAGTTGAAAAAGTGACAGAAAAACCACCTTTTTTGCAAAGATGACCACACCTTTTATTGATAAATAATCAACATAAATCAAACTACTGCAAAATACAGCAATAGAATATTTTTCCAGATTATTTAGAAGCACTAGCCCTTCACTTATGATCAATCTTTATTTCAGTATGTCAGATTCAGTTCCAAGGCAAATTATCACAATCCAAGTTTGTCAGAAAATCACGTTTCTGTATTTCTCCCATTCCCACATGTATGATTGACCACTCTTTAAAACTAGCTTCTAAGAGTTAAACATGGAAAATTTCCATCTTAGAGGTTAAGGCATAAGGACATTGTAAGTGAAAATAGAAGATCAGAATGGAAACTCTTCCGTGACATTCTCTTGGGCAGTTACTAGTCGTCTAGCAATAAGAGACACACCAGAAAGATAAATTTCTTATAAATGCTCGAGAAAACCATTACTCAGGAGCTGAGTTTTTCACATTCTGGGAATAGACGAAATGTGACTGAGCATAGTAATAAATTTCTTGAAAAGAACACAAGCGCCTTTGCTGCTGCTCAGGAAAAAAAAAGCAAACTGCTCCAGCATAAAAAAATCCTCCTTTTTCCTTTTTCCTGGAGTTCTCAAAAGAGGAAACATTTGCTTTTCACTATTAAGCAATACAGTTGCATGACGGAGTTCCAAGGAACTCATAGAACTTTGGCAGAGTATCCTGGACCACGTAAGCACGTCCGACTGAATAGATGGCAGAGCAAAACCATCTCCCCATGGGCAAATAGATCCACACATGGGGATGAAAATTACAGCTCTAATGAAACTGCAAAGGGAGACAATTTTAAAATGTCTATAGCTTTTCTGCCTGTTGCATTTTAGGTTTTTCATTATATCAGATAAAGAAATACCAATCTTAAGAAAGTATGTAACACATATAGAGCATACTAAAATTGTAGTAAACCTAATAAATCCAATATAAGTAAGGAAAGTAAGTTGTAAAGACAGAGGTGACTTCCCCAAAACTAGGAAAGAAATCTCTGTCGGGGCTAGAAGCAGGTCTGCGTGACTACTGGCACAAGTTACACACTTTAATCACTTTATCATTTCTGTTTCTTGAAAACAATACAATCCAATTTACTCTCAAGAAAAACGGTACTAACTTCTGGTCTTCTAAGGAAATTAGTGTCACATTTCATTAACAGGCACAATCTGCAAAACTGTTATGCTCAATGAGTAACTCCTGCTCAAACCAGAGGTCAGATATTATATGCAAAACCGCTCAATGCACAATTGCTGTGCTGCAATTGTATAGCTTTTTAAAACTGGCTCCTTTTAAAGCTGAAGTACATCTAGTCTTACTCTTTTAGTTTAAAGCGCTAGCTGTAACCGTAGATTAAAGCGAGACAAGAGATACATGGCAAAGCAAAAGGATCACTAATAGATTCTGTATCAATAGTTGAAAAGAAACCCCGTCCGGCCCGTAATGCCCAGCGCCGGTCGCTCTGACGCCGCGCCGAGCCCCGGCCCGGAGCTCTGCGGGACTGGGCACGGCCGGGAGCGAGGCCCGGGGCGGGTGGGGCCATCCCGCAGCACGTCCGGCGGGAAGGGCATTTCGGGGAGTTACACCAGTCCTGGCCAGAGTATTGCAAAATGAACGTTCGAGTTAAACAACATCGAGGAAGAAGAACCGCATCTGCCCGTGGGCTTCGTCCGGGGCCGCCCGCTCGAGAGGGGCCCCGGGACCCCTTCCCGACCAAGGGACCCTGGGGAGTTCCAGGGGGAGCACGGAGAGCCCGCCTTTCCTTCCCAGCCCCAGCGCGGAGGAAAACACAGACCGTACAAAGGGCGCGCCAGACGCGGATAACGAGAAGGAGCCGGTCCGACCTCCGGACATACCTTACCCTGTCTGGCCCCCGCGCCAGGCCCCGCTCCAGCGTGGGGCGATTCCGGCCCCGCACACGGCGCTGCCCCAGCACGGCCCGAACCGCCCCCGCGCGACGCGCCCGGGACAGGAGCTGGCCGGGGGCGGGGGCTGATCGGGGTGGAGATGGCAAGGAGGGTGGGGCCTGAGCAGGGGCAGGGCCGGTCGGGGGTGGGGCCTGGAGCAGGGCGGGCCTGAGCAGGGGGGGCCCGGTCGGGGGTGGGGCCCGGAGCAGGGGGCGGGGCCATCGATGGCAGGCGCACGCAGAGATCGCCGAGCTGTCGAACAGAGGTGGGTGCGGGGGAGCGGCCGGTGGAGGTGGTTCCTTGGCGGGGCCCGGCGGGGCCGAGGGCGGGGGGCAGCGGGCGGTCTCTGGGACCGGGTGGTCTCTCGGGCCGTTGCCCCGAGGGCTGTGGCTGCGGCGGACCCGGGGCCCGTGGCCGAGCGGGCAGCGAAGTAGCGGGGCCGGAGCTCGGCCAGAGGCGGTCGGGCCAGTGGTCAGGGAATTTTCTTAGCTGCCTTTCGTTAGTTCTGGAGTTCTTCAGGACATGTAGAGGAGGATTTGCTGTCCGAAGTCACCTGATCGACTTTGCTCTGTTGCCTAAGTGGCTGTGGGGAAAAAAAGACTCCAAGCCGAATTAGGTAGGAGGTAAGATAAGGATACAAAAGTTTTAATGAGCCCCCAGGCTTTCTGGAATACCCTCAGCGCGCTCCCGAAGTACAGATGTCCACAGTTTTTATAATGATTTTCGCTCAATCCCCGTCCTGTTACCACCCAGGTTCTGCCCCCACCACGCCTCTTGGAAATTGGGTCTGGGGGCGTTTTGGGACCCCCTCTTCTTCATCTTCTTCAGAGCACGTAATGTCCTTGGAGGCCTTCCAGAATTCTAGGCCTGAAGGTTGTTGGGTCTACGGCTGTATCTTGTTCCGTAGGGTTAGGGTGTTCTTCTACCATACTACCTTGAAAAAGACACTAAACAGGCTATGGAATTTAGGGAATGGGTAACAGGGTTTTGAGCTGGTGTGTTAAGGGTAAAGGGATAATATGTTGCTACTCTAAAATCTACATTTACTACATAACTACTTCTAAGATCTACAAAAATTAAAAAAAAATCAAAACATCAAAACTCCAAGATATCACTCTAACCAGGCTATGTGAGGAGCAGGAGCGACCAACATAGAACCACATCCCACACAGGACACATCCCGCACGGAACCGTGCACAGTGTTGAGTTTGTCACACAACACTTATTTTCAGCTTTGGGGATATGAGAGTTTTATAAGTTGCTGATGAGGAGGTAGCGGTCAGTGGAACGTTGGGAGCTCTGGAACCACATTTGTAACAAGTCAAACTGGCCCAATCCAGCTTGTTCGGTAGCAAACTGTGCAGCTTCGATGAAAACACCATATTTAGATCAAAGTTCAGAGGCTCAACGACCACCAGGTGCCCAAAGACTCTGCTAGAAGACTCTGTGAGACTACACAGACTCAATATTGTATCACCTTGAGCCAAGTGTGCACCTCAGGCAAGAGTCACTGCCCTGTGCATCCAGCACTGCAATAAAGCAGCGCCTGATGCTTAGTGCTACCTTGGTGTTAAGTAGCTTCATTCCTGTTTTTTGGAGACAATAGCACAATGCCTACCTTGTTCTATTCTGTAGCTAAAAGTAGTTGGATTTTATCTTTTGCACACTTCCAGAACCTCCAGAACCTAGTCACCATCTGCATTCTGAGGACGACGCGGGGATCTGCTCTTTTGCCCTCATTCAATGTAAGAGAGTTTAATTGAAATCTTACATATACTTGGACTGTGTATTCCTGATTTGTACGAACAAGTCCATTAATGCCAGCTTACACCTCCTGCAGCACGTGAAGCCTGGTGGAACACTGCGATGGCGGCTCAGATGACTGATGCTCATCGACGGTTCTTGCAGGTTCTGATGTCTAAGGGGATAACAGAAGGATCAGAGGCCAGGAAATTACACCACCACTGCTGTGAAACTGATAAAGGTGTGTTCGTCTTGGAGATGGAAGAAGGTTTTTTTTTTTTCCTGATGCAGCTTGGAGAAATTGGATTTCTGAAAGACACACACCAGCTAAAAATTTTAAAAAACTGTAATGATGTGTGTGTCCTCTCTCTTTCCTGAAAGATAAAGTAACACAGCAGTGAGTAAACTAACTTCTAATCAGGTCAGATTAATATATACCACTTTTTATTTTATCACAATTGGTTTTTATAGATTATACATGTAAGTGATTTAAAAAAAATCATTTTTGATGCTGATAGTACTTCACTATAGGGAATGCTTTTAAGTAAATCCACTTCAGTTATTTCTCTCTGGTGTTGTGGGAGAAGTGACTGTTGCAGAAACGTTTCAGTGAGGATGACATGAGGTTTTCCTGGTGGATGGCTGTACTTTATCCCATCTCACCTACACTGTATTGCCCGTTCCTAGTCCTGGAAGCCGGACTCCTGCCAGGCTTAGGAGTGTCCTTCTGTCTTGTCACCGTGCTACCCACTCTGCAGGGACTCTTCTGGTTTTGTATCTACTTATCCGCAGACGTTAGGTCAGGATGAAGTAGTCTGTTTTTGGGCCTCCTGAGCCAGGAACTGTAACTTGGCCACCTTTAGATGCTAAAATTGTGAAGTGCAGCTTTTGGTGTGGTCTGACTCCTGTTTATTTTTTATGAGGAATTTATATCCCTTTTTTTCACAGAAGATCTACTGGAGCAGCCACTCATCTCACATTAAAATATTAGAGCTGTTGAACAAAAGAATATTGTTATCTTTCATTTTTTACCCGCTTTCAGATCTGTTACTAACACTCCCTGATTGTGGTGTGTACAGTGTTTCCTGTTGACAGGCCAGCCAGGTGGCAAAATTATATTTAATATTGTACTTTATAATTGTTCTTGCTGTTACTTGGTTTTGTTTACTTAAGGAGTCTTATATATCAGAATCATGAACTCCTGGACAAGAGCATCCTGGGAATGCCATTTGGCACTGTGCTGTCTTTGGGAGCAGGACCTTGGCCCGATGCCATTACACGAGCAAGAGACTCCTGTGACTGAGAACAGGGTTAATTTAGTGACAACTGGTTGTATTTTTGAGACAGGAGTAATTTTTATAAAGTTACAAGCTGTTTCTTAACCCTGATTTTTAAATCCTAGCCTGATGAAGGCAACAGGAGTGCTACTGACAAAATCTTGTTTTGGGTGGACCTGAGGGCTGTGCTGGTGTTGTGCAGGCAAGAGCCATCACATGCACTTCCACAGAACAACTCCAAAGGCCATCTTAATTATGTCTGTGATAGAACTGCTGCTAGTATTTAATTTGTTTGTAGAACACAACACAAGATAGCACCCATGTTTCTACAATACTAGAATTTTTTTTGATATGTAACTTGATCACTTACATGCCATTAATCTGTGAAACAGAACACACAGAAACAAAGAATCACGTGTGTGTAAAGGAAAGCAAGCCAGTGTATTTTTCTATTCTGAATAGTAATTTTTCCTGGTCATGTTTTATTTTTGGTTCTGTTTAGTTCAAGTCACTGTAATTGCTGTGGGTTCCCTACAGCAAGGCGGAATGTCTGAACTCTCTCTCAACTGACTTTCAAGGAACTGAGTGTCTCTGAAGGACAGGAGACAGCAGCACAAGAAAACGATACATCTGCTGAATAGAACAGCCCTGTTTGAATTTGCCTCATGGAATTTTAGTGCTTTTACCTGGGAAAAAACATTTCACAGAAAAAATCTGCCTGATGTGTAATTGTTTGACTTTTCTCTGTATGTGCTTTTTCTTATTTATTTTCAGTTTACTACGCACATGATAAACTGGACGATTTCATCAGCACTATTAACAGGCACCTGCAGCCTTTGTTTATGCAGATCCGGAAAGGAATGTCAGAAGAGGATGGGAGAGCACATTATGCTGTAGTAGGTACCTGCTTTGTTTGTGTGGGGACAGTTGTGTTTGTGTAGGGACAGCTGTGTTCATGTGGGGCCAGCAGCAGCTACAGGAACTGCTGGTAGGACAGGGCAGGGGAAGGATCAACTACTGTAGCCCTGGTCTGTGGGAGTAGGACATGGCAGCAAGGACCACAGCAGTGTTGGAGTTATTTAACATAAACATTGCTTAAGTGCTGAAGTGAGATTCCTTTTCCACAGGAGACTTTATTTCTTGAGACAGATCTTTAAACTAGAAAACAGAGCCCTCCAACATTAGTTTTCTTTTTCTCCTACTCAAAAATCAACCTAGTACAAAAGGGTTGCTGAGAGTGGCCTGTAAGAAGTTTTCCAGATACTTTGCAATGCACATGTCAGAGAGGAGAAGGTTATATAACAATTTCAAAAGACCATACAGGAGGTATTTAACACTAACTGCTGCTTTTAACCTTTCTGGGTCATTTTGCCAATTAAGCTGAGCTAATAATAGTAGTAGCATGTGCAGTAAGCGTAGGAAACATCAGCAATTGTTTTTCAGAGTGAAAAAAAAAGTGACTGATAGCATAGTTTGTGCTGCTCTCCAGCGCTGTGCCTGGTTTGACAAGTCAGTTCTGCTGCAGTCTTTGTGTTACTTTGGGGAGTTTGGGTTGTTGAAGGGCTTGACCTGGCCAGAGGCAGCTCTGGAGAACATGTGGCTGGAAGATCAAATGTTGTAAATAAAGGACTTGAGTACCATCGACTGCCCTTCAAGGATCAGCTTCTTTCATGCCGCTTAAAGAACTGACATTTCTGTTAATTGTAAGTTGATGTATTCTTTTCCTCAGAGGACCTTTTACAGTTTCTGGTGTAAAACTACAATGGCACTTCGATTCAGTTTCTTTCTTTTTTTTAGGTGAATTTGGCAGAAACTGAAGTAACTAAAATGGCATCTGACTATACAGAAATTGAATTAGAGTTGTTTAGAAAAACAGTAAGTATGCCAGTTATCATTTAGTAAATCACAGTATTTGGGAAGGTATCACCTTAAAATGAATGGAAATGGAAATGGAAATGGAAATGAACAGAGATGCGGTTCAGAAACTAGTTGCCATTTTACCTAAGTTTATCCCAGATTGAATGGGATTGGCGGGGATGGAAGTATGTGCAAGTAGTGATTCCCTGCTGGAAGTCAGTTATGGGTAAAGCAAAACCAGCACCAGGAAGTGCTTCTTGGGGTTGGGGACTCAACACACACATGCTAAAGTTACACAAACACCTTTCTTCAAGATTTTCAGTTGTGATTGCTGAATTTTTCACTGGCTTCGGTAGTTTAGTAATATACAGTAGATTTTAATAACATTTTTTTTTTCTGATTTGAATATAGATATTTGTCTTGTTACTGCTTAGCCAATTCTGTATTAATAAACTAGTCAGAATGCTGCTTTTCAAACAAGAAAACACACACTTGAGATTTTTTAAAGTTCCAAATAGAACTATTGGGCCAAGATTCAAGGACATTTGTTTTTTAATTTCTTATCAACAACCATTAATGTGAGTTGTGATCATAGCTGTGTATCTTGGATGTTTTGCCTAATTGTTCTCATAATGTCTTGGACTCTGAGGACTTAATTTTACAGCCACTAGAATTTTTTTGCACACTCATTACATTTTCTGTATAAACTGGAAAGAGAGATGCATTGACTATTCTGTGTGACAGCTGCAGAAGTCTAATCTCCTTGGATAGGACACAGAGGTTTCCCTGCCCTCCCCTACATAGCCAGGTCAGCACTGCAGAGGGTGTGTTGTTGTGACCCATGTCACTGCTGACATGGACTCTGTGCTGCTCTGTGCTAATGAGCAGCAGGAATGTTTCCAGTGAGGTTCTGTGAAGATTGGTGATACTGTACAGCCTTCAGGTGCCAGGTAGGCTCAGAAGTACTAGCGACTCAAGAGTGGAAAACTTAGTTGACAAAGAGCAGATAAAAAGAAAACAGATCTGTCCCTGTTGAATGTGCTGAGGGGTCCCTGAAAGCAGCTTCATTTAGGCAGCATGTACACTTCTATTTGTGGAAATGTTTTCTTGGCAAACATCAAAACTGTCAAGGGGACAATGACTGTTTCAGCTTTTGGCCTTTGTTTTACAGTTCTGGTTAAAGCCATATTATGTAGTATCTCTCACATGTATGGATGCTGAAAAACCTGCACATCAGTACATTACTGTAAGGTGTGTCTGCAGGGTTTTTTTATACTTGGTAATGTTTCTTTCTGTAGATGGACCTAATCCTTTTATCAGAAAATGGCTTTGCCTCATCTACAGATATTTTAAACTTGGCTGACAAACTTAAGACAAAGAAAATGAAGAAAAAGGAAGCAGAACAAGTGCTGAAAGTTTTTGTGGAGGATAAGTGGCTCTCTGAGGTAACTGCTTTCAAGTGTTCGTATTTCAGTAGGTCCAGCTACCATGTTCTTATGGATATGATGGGTGAAACTGGAGCTATTCTTTAATGAATGATGGCAAAAATGGTTTTAAGGGGCCCGTGCTTATTGCTGCTCCGGTGATTTTTGCAGAAAAGGAAATAGACTTACAAGGAAAAAGTCCTTGGGTAGCTCTGTATAGGACCAAATGGTTTCAGTTTCTTCTACCTGAGCCAGGTGGGTTTGTGTGTCCTGCCCTGACCGGTGACATGCAGACATCCTTCAGCCAGGAATGAATTCGAGCTGGGGAAGGTTCTCCAGGGTGATAGTGCTGTTAGTTACATTTGGAATTTCCTGAAAAGTGGTGAGGCCAAACATGTTGAAAACTCCTGCACCAGGAATGCATGGGCCACTGTGCACATGGTGACATCTCCATGAGGGGAGCAGTTGAGATAGGCTCACCGTGTGAACACTGCAGTTGCTTGCCAAGTCAGACCTCAGTCCTTCTCTGCTGGAGTCATTGCATCATAGATCTCCAACCTGCTGCCACACAGTCACTCATATGTTAAAAGTGATTTAGCAGAGATTTCCAAAGATATCTGAAGCAGTAAACACATAGATTTTGTTGAAAGCTGGGAAAATTTTCTCTCATGTGCAAATGGAGGGTCCCAAAACCGCATGCTTCTGTTAAGGAGAGCATGCTTGCTCATCTGTACTTTCCAAGGACTAGTTAAAGATGTGAAATCTTTATTCTGCTCCACTAGACAAATGAGTTCTGTTACTTCAAAGGTGTTTTGGCTTTGCATTGTACCACTACCAGCATGTTAGTTTCATGATGGCAGAAAAACGTGGCTGTCAAATGCTTGCTAGCAGGGGGTTAGCAAAGTCAAAAAAGGTCAAAGGAATTAAATTCCTAATCTTGATACATGTTTCCTTAGAAAAATGGAGAATATACTCTGCATACTCGTTGCATAATTGAAATGGAACAGTACATTCTCAGCAACTACCAGGACGTGGCAAGGAAATGTAACATCTGTCGCAGCCTCGCAGTCCAGGTAATGTCCATTTATCACATGGTCATAGCTGAGGTTTGTGATACTTCCCTTTGAGTATTACGCATGCGTTAAAAAATCCTAGTATTGTAATCTCGTCATGGTGCTTATGTATATTAAAAAAGAAAACCCATTATTTTTCTTTGTAGGCACTTTATCTTCTGTATTTAGTAAAAAATTATCTTGGAGCAGTGTCTCCAAGTATAAACTTGGAGAAAGTGCACTCACCCCATGACAAATGTGGTTGTGCTGTCTGGTTTTCCAAACCGGCAGGCTAGAGATGAGCCCCTGATGTTGAAACAGGTTTAGCAGTGAGGTGTTAGCAGTCTCCTCTTTGGGCCTTATCAACAGCAGTCTTCACGTGACACACGTTCATTTTTAGGGTTCCTGGGGTTTGGGTCAGGAATTACTTGTGTTTGGACCTCAGCATGAATGTAATAATGTGGCTATATAGAGCATGCTAGAACACTGTGTTGTGATAACTGGAATGCTACCAGTTTAGTCTTGCATAAGTGGTTACAGCCTGGATTTCTGTTCCAAAACTGCTGCATTCTCTTGCTCTGTGAGTGTGCAAGAAGGACAGGTTAGAAAGATTTTTTAATCATCACTCCTGGATTTCAGAGCCAAGTATGTGAATCCTGTGGAATTGGAATGCATTTACCTTGTGTTAGAAAGTACTTCAAGGCTCAGACTGAACCCCGCTGTCCGAAGTGTAATGAATTCTGGTCTTGTGACATCCCAGGTACCAAGCAATCTATTTTTAAAAAAACAGAGTGTAGTAATACTACAAAATGAGCTGTAACATTTAGTGGCAGTACCTGTATTATTTACAACTGTAACTGAGCATCAGTTCTTTCTGACTTCAGCTGTACGTTTGAGACATTAAACCACACATGAGCAACAAGCCCTCACAGTGCCCAGACTGTGCCACAGGGGCACAGCAGCCCCTGCATGTTGTTTATAACTACTTTAGGGTGGGGAGGTGGCAGGGAATAGGGGACACGCACAAGCTATGGCACTAAAACTTCAGGAAATACTGAGCTTTTAAGAATCTCTTTGGAACCCCCCTGTTTCTCCAGGGGAATTGGACATTGTGAACAGCAACACAGGAATACACAAAGCATTTTAAAAATCAGGAGGTTATACAATATTATGCTTTTTTTGTGTGTGTCGTTCATTAACCATTGTTGTCTTTACAGGTATGAGTCGAATGAACTCCCAGTCACCATAGAGCTCCATTCTCAGCCCTAGATGATGATAGTAGACTTGCTGTCAGTGACAGCTGTTTTCACTCACTCTGGCAGAAAAGCCAGATTGTATTGTATTCATTAATAACAGTGGTCAGTGTACTTATTTTCTGTCCTTATAATAAAACTATCGTTGACTTTCCTGTTCTTACTTACAGTAATGCCTACACAGCTTTCTTGGAGGCTGTTTTGTGTTTGTAGTTCTCCATATTCTTGGGTTGGGACTTTCAGTGCATGCTTGGGGATGAAAGAGGCAAATGTTTTAGTCAGTCCTGCAAGCTAATTTATGCAGGTGGACTCTTCAGAGAAGCCTTTCTCAGCAAATGCTCCCTATTTGTCAGCTACACAATGGAACTGACACCTGCTGTAGCACCTCAAGCAGGTGAGAAATCCGTGCAGTACACGTAAGGTCTCTGACCTAGGGCTGGAGTTGGAACGCTTCCAGCTGGCACTGTGGCTTTGAGTTTTGTCCCTTCTTTAGATGCAGAAGAGTTTGTCTTGACATAAGGCCAGGTCACAAGCAGTTGTGCTCCGTAAGGGAGGGAATATTGCCACAGTCAGAACAATTGGGAAAGATCACAACAGGACTTGGGGCAATGTCAGCTTATGTCTACAAAGTGCTGAAAAAATTGCCATATTGAGATTCTTTAGATTTTTAGTCCTAATACTTCTGTCTCTGGTTTTATGTAAGGATGTTTCTTCCTTTAAGAGTGAATTGAAAAAAAACGAACGGCTACTGCCAGACACCAGACTGGAATGGCAGCATTCCTGTCCTTGGTAGAGTCACTTCAGGAAGGCTGTGACATTGGTTCAGCTGATGGTTAATGAAAGTATAACTAAGCTTCAGTTTATTTAATGGCAATTAAACTATGGGTTAACTTCAGTTATATTCCTGGGCTTTTAACAAGATGTCATGGTTTAGGAATGGTACTCCCCAATTTAATGTTCCCATTGTAACACTCCAAACCACCAGCCTCCAAACCACCAGCCGCTCCCTCCCCTGGGGTGGGCTGGAGAGAACTGGGAGCACAAAAGGTGAAGATCATGGGCTGACAGAAGAAGAAGCTGGGAACAGCAGTGGAATCCAAGAAAACGAACAGTGATAACTACAATACTAGTAACACTGTACAAAAGAGACAGAAGTTTCACAGGCAAGTGCTCACAACCACTACCACCACCCCCCTCACTGCAGAAATTAACCCTGTTCTGGCTGGAACCAGGATACACAAGTAATTTCTTCCATTCAGGAGACTGGTACCTTGCTTTGTGTTAGCTTTATTTTAAAACAGAGAGAAAATACATTATAAAATTTCACCATTTCTCTAGGTGACTCCAGGCTTTAGTGCTATTAAATCCAAGTAGAAGATAACACTGAGCTGGTGTTGCAGACAGAGGCAGAGCCCTGGCAGTGCCCAGACACAGGCTGTTTCTGAGGGACACATGCACACAGGACACTGACCTAACATGCTCTTCATAAGGAGTTATTAGAAACATCTACAAAAATGAAGTAGCTGCAGCATCATCTTTCCATTTGCACTCCGAAATCTGCATGCTTCAGGAAGAGGTTGTTGGTTTTTGGTTTTGCTCCACTTCTAACCTCTTGTGAAAAGATGCTGCCAGATGCTAATTCCCATTACAATGCTGCAGGCAATGCTTCAGAGCTATGACCACCAGAAACTGACAGAGAAGCTGAGCTCAAGTGATCGCACATAGTGCCAATATTTAACTGGAATAAACAGAATCTGTCCAGGCATCAGAATGCAGGACTGAAATGCAGCCTTTGTGAAATTGGGAAACTTGACCAAGTCGGGATCTTCCACATCTACCTATAAAAACCCAAATGATCAATAGCAGAATGTCTTTACTCAAATATGATTTGATAAGGTAACATTACAGATACAAAAATTTCAGGCAACTATTTACCTGACTAGTGTTGTGAAGAATTTGGCTCTCATGTGGGTACAGGTTTTCTGAATCTTGTGGTGAATACAGACGGATATACTTTCTTCCTAATACCTGTATATAGTAAAATAAAGGTTTTCCATTTATCATTAAGCAGCACATTACTGGAAGCTGTGGGCCACACCTGGCATTTAACAGTAAATATACCTAATTACAAGGAACATCCTCTTTGTGAGTTATAGACACTGCTATAATAAAAAGTTAAATCAAACAATTGAAATTCAAGTACCTGTTCCTTGGAGCAGATAAGAATTTGAATACCTTTAGGAAGGAAATGCCTTTAATCAAATTACTTTCAATTTAAAGTTTGAGGCACCCAATTTATACATTGTTATTTGGGCTCTATGTAGCTAGAAATAAGTAGAACTGAGAATAAAGAGGTTGAATCTTCATTGCAGTTCATATCATCAGGCAGAGATACCTACACAGTGACTGCCAAGCTTCGATACGCTCCTAAAACTCTTATTCCTGTGTCATCATTAAACCAGTTCTTTCACTATAGTGCTGAAATGACAATTTGTAAGCTGACTGGCTTGGCTGCCCTGAACACCACATGAACTGCAAGTTGTCAGTGTCCAGAAATGGCAGCATGAATGAGTCAAAGCTGACTCCTGCACTTATACCAGTGGAACAGAAGGCTTAGCATGAAGATTCATGCTGCTTGTGCCAGCATTCCAGATCTCCTCAAAGGCTAGGCATGATCATGCTTGTTTGGAACCGTCCTGTTAAGAGATAAGTCAGTACTCTAATCACAGTACCCTGGACTGGTGTTATGCTACTCAACCATTCCCAAGCAACCTGCTTTTCCTCTATCTTAACATCCCTTCCCACATAATAGAATAGGATTTCCTGAAATCTTACCAACACCTAAGCTGTCATGCTGAATATTCAGAGTTTGTTGCTTTAAGGACAGCAAATAAATATATTCTATAGGCTGGATGAGTACCAACATACTCCTGCCCTGTCCTACTCTTCACTATCACTGGTTAAACTACTAGAGTATTGATCTGAATAACTTTGGCTGTACATGCATTTTTAGGATGCCTTCCATACCCTAAGGGGATTATGGATATTAATTAACTCTCTAAAGACCCCAGTTTTACATGGTATTTTTGGTGATGTATGGAAGTGACAAAAAAGCTGGGTATTGCTCCAACAGCACATTTTTTGAATACCTGAACTTTTGGGGGGACTGTCACCAGCTGTTAACAGCTCCTTTCTTCACTTGCCTCACGGGCTTAAGGCCTTGTATATTATAAGGTTGCAGGCACCAGTTAATGGGCAATATCCTGCATCTCCAGCTACTGGTTTCCTCATTACTGGAAACACTATGATCTCGGCAGCAGCCACCACCCAACCAGCAGGGATCAATGCACTTTGTTAGTTGCGCTTGTGCCCTCCTCTACTCTACAGCCACACTTTGAATGGCATCACGAGGCAGCGCAGTTTTAATTGAAAGTTGAAAACTGCCAGATCACTTGCTGTTCAAATCACCAAGACTTTCACAGCACTGGTAGATACGCTCCCATTCTTCGAGCAGAAGAAAACAAGTTCTGAGGTTTGTGAGGGAAGTATCTTTTCTCAGTCTAACAGCTCCTGTAATTGACTTCCATCAGAAAAATCTCCCACAAGCTTTACATAGAGTGTATAGTACAGTACTTTGCTTTCAGAGTGCAGCTGTGTGTGTGTGCCAGGCAGGCAGCAGGGAAGAGAAACACAATCCGTATAGAGTTGCACAGCAGTTGTAAAGCCTACTTTAGAAAGGCCTGAATTAAGTCTCAGTTCCAAGTGAAAACACGGGTTCGCAAGATGCAGCTGTTTGGGACAGAGAAACTAAGGCTCAGCCCATAGATAAGCACAAGTATAAAGTGTTCAATGTCACAATCCTGCTGGAAAATGTGTGAAAGTGTAAGCCATTTTTTGTTAGAGTCTGATGGGACAGCAATCTCTTTCCAGTAAGCAAAACACCTCTCAGCATTTGAGGATTTACAGTTGTCAACTGCTTGGACCCAGAATACTTTTCTGGGCTTGTGTAGTACCACAGGGCCCCAGTATTTTATTGGGTTATTCTGCACTAAAAGTCATCATCAAAAAGCCTACCAAGAGAAACTCAGCAGAAATGAGGCCACAGTACAAGTATTAATTCATATCTCTCTGCATACATGAATAGGTATTTTATTGAGTAACCTGATGTGGATTAAAGTATGCACCTAAATCCCCCTCAAAATCTTGCTTTCCAAATGTGCTGGTTTTGGCCAGGGGAGAATTAATTTTCTTCACAGTGGCCGATGTGGGGCTGTGTTTTGGATCTGTGCTGAACACAGGGTTGATAATATAGAGACATTTCTGTTATTGCTGAGCAGGGTTTACACGGAGCCAAAGCCTTTCCTGCCCCTCGTGTGGGGTTGGGAGTGCGTGGGAGGTTGGGAGGAGACAAAACTGGGACTGCAACTGACCCAAGGGATATTCCAGACTATATGACATCCTGCTCAGTATGTAAAGCTGGGGGAAAGAAGGAGGAAGCGGGGGGAAATGTTTGGAGTGATGACATTTGTCTTCCCCAGTCACTGTTACACGTGATAGGGCCCTGCTCTCCTGGAGGTGGCTGAATACCCGCTGCCCATAAGAAGCACTGAATTAATTATTTGTTTTGCTCTGCTTGTGTGCATGGCTTTTGTTTCACCTATGAAAGTGTTATGATGTCAACCCAGAAGTCTTCTAGCTTCACTTTCCTGATTCTCTCACCGATCCTGCCGGTTGATGGATGAGTGAATGGCTGTGTGGGGCTTGGGGGCTGCCTGGAGTTAAATCATGACATCAGAAAAAGAAGCTCCTTGATACACTGTGAGAGGATCCAGGTTCTTCCCAACTCTGTTACAAACTCCCTGTGTGACTTTGGAAAAGCTGCTTCTTGTGATTTCTATTTATCATCTGTAAAACAAGGGTAAGTAACGGTCTGTCTCAATGAGGAACACTTGTGGCCTACAAGATTACACTGAACATCAAGTTGCAGTAACAACAAATGCGATGTAATAACAAAATAGTACCTGCATGTTCTCCATCCTTCAATTGTTCCTCGAGTTTTCTTGCACCCCTTGTCTCTAACACTTACATACCATAAACATTTTTAATAAGTATTGCATTAATGGCATGTGTAGAGTAACTAGAGTACATACCTGGGCTAAAAAGTTTTGCTGAGGATCCTGATGAAGAGGTGAGATAGTGCCTCCTGGACCAAACCAAGCATTAATGGTGATGTCATCTTCTTCCCCTTCCCCCAGACAGCAGTAGTCAGGGATACTGATATCTTCTTTCAGTTCTGGGATCTATTTCCATAAAGAAATAAACTTTAAAAAGGATACATGCTGACTTGCCAAATATATGTAATTCATCAAACAGATGGACGAGGCTTGACACAAAGAAAACAAATGACCTGCTTGTCCAGCAAGGGCAGGAGAGAAATAGCTGACCTGCTAGGAATCTGCAGGAAATGTCCTCATACTTTCTGTTCTAGTGAGTAGATTCTGCTGGAAGGAGAGGTGGGAGAAAAAAAGAGGTTTCTCATTCTTCAGAGACTCTTTGCTTTAGCAGAAACCAGAGACATACACAAGAGTAAGCAGGTTTGTGGTTCATGGAAAAGAAACAGCTGATCCCTTATACGTTATGCTTGTTTCTCCATGAGATTCCTTTTTATGTCTCCCATCAACCTAAATTCTGGTAAACTGGAATGACATCTCAGATTATGGTGATCAACGCTGAACACTGTTCCCTGTCCAAACCTCTTCCCTGAATTTGAGGAACTGCTACTTTCTGAGTGATTATCCTGGTAAGTTTATGCTTACAGCACTAGGATTGTATATCTTAATCCCTGGAGTGGTATATTTCCATATTTTTCAGCCAAATGGAACAAACCTCTTCCTCTGTTCTTTCAAATCCTGGGAACAGAAACTTCATAATTACCATGAGTTCTTCATATACCCTTTGATCTAGTACAGTTGAAGGGAACACTTTACTGTAGATAAAAACATTCACTCAATTTTACCTGATCAAAAAGCTGGTGCTGGGCAAGGTATCCTACACTGTTCTGAAATGACAGCAGAGAAATAAAAAACACATAGTGACATATAGTGTATGACTTCTCAGTCAGTTAATTTACTTACAGGTGAACAGAATTTACTTATAGGTAACATCCACTTCCAATATACTATTCAGAGAACTGTTTCAACAGTATAAGGGGTCTTCTGAAATAGGAATTTATAGCTCCACTGAAATTGCGAGAGTGTATATGTGTCTCCATAATCAGTAAGTCATCTAGCTCAAGTTAACTGGAGGAAGCTGAGCTATAACCCTATGGACTCTCAACACTCTTGTCAGTCCCATGAGGATGTGCTGCATATTTATAGCCAGACACTACTGGCACACAGACCAGTTCTCCTTCACTCTTTGGAACTACCTCCATACTCTATTCCGGGCTGCACTGCAGAGCAGTTTGCTATGGCACACAGTACTACCTGCCAGGTCGTCAGGAAACAGAAACAGGAGCTTTGGATTCTCAGCTGTGAAAGCAAAAGGACGTTCCAACTGCTAATTGACGTTTTATTTTTCTGCCTTGTGGCATGTGAATTTGGATCTTGATCCTGCTGGCTGAGGATCTCTAATACTTAGACTCCACCAGTCAGGCTTTTGCTATAGAATGTGTGTTTTTATTTGTCAAATTCCAGCTGCTGTACATTCGATTATATGTAAAAATCAAACCTAGGTATTGTTTCAATAACTATTTCTAGCTTCAGATCTTGAAAATATGTCAAGCCTTTTAATTCAGAGTTGTGCTTACAGCACACCCTCTCCCTTAACCATCACCTTTGAGGATGTTTGTTGGAAGCAGAACTGTTGTCTGTAACAGTACCATGCTGCTGTGTTTGGAGATGAAATAAAATGAGTGCAACACACCTCATCCATGATATACTGGCTGATGAAGTCACTGACAGTCATGAGCTGCTGAGACCATTCCTCATCTGTGTACCGGGCACCCAACTCCACGGGGACTGTGCGGCACCCTGCGACTTGACAAAAATAGTCCACGCTGAAATAAAGAAAAGTTCAATTACCTTTTATACTACTTTTCTTACTAATTGTGAATGCAAGGCAATCAATCCAAATCAGTCCTGTAGGGTAATAAAATTCTACTACCACAAGTTTCTTGTCTCTAAACCCAACCAACCAGAGACAAAAGGCAGCAGAAAACAATGTAAGAGGCAAGGAAATCAGCAGGCTGGTTTGTGTGTACATTATCCCACAACTGTCTATTTTATTTTGGTTTAAAATCTTGTTTACCTCAGTTAACTGTGGTTTCCTTAGGAGCTAAGGAGATTTAAGCTATTAAGTCTCTCTTGGTGAGGGATGGCCAATCTTCTTACTGCCTGCTGCCATGTTTGCTAAATAAAATATATCTTTTTATCATTAATACTAGATCAACTCTCTGCCAGTGTCAAATTCCCTACACAGGTGCCAATAATATCCATCCTGGTTTCAGCCAGAGGGATTACTCTGATGGGTGGAACACATCTCTCCATGGACAATGGTATTAACTAAGTTGAGGAGTTAATCTTTTTAAGTGTCCAAAGTTAACCAGTGGAGTACCTTCCCTCAAAAATGAACAAAATCCCTAAAAATAACAAGTGTGTTCACTTAATGTCAATTGTACCCTTGGCTGTTGAACAAAAGCAACTGTTCAAACTACGCATGAGTGTTTTTTCCCCTTTTGTAAGGAATCATGAGCTTCGCCTCACAAATACTCAATGCACCACTGCTTACGTTAGGCAGGCAGCACAATGCTATTACTCACTCCTGCATGGTGGTGGCTGAAACTCAGCATGCAAACATGACACTGAGCAAACATCAGGGCTTGCACTTGTGAATGAAAAAGTCAATCATGGTGACTCACGGCTCTGAAATTCACTTCTCATTGCACTAATTATCGGCACATTCCAAGGGGAGCTGAGAAGCTCACTGGCGCTTTGCAACGTACACTCCTTGTGAGTTCCCAGCTGAGCAACACACTGCACCACCGATTCGTCACCGGGCTCCCGGGACAGCCCCAGGCTGGGCGGAGGGTAACCTTCGCCCTTGCTCAGTCTGGCTCTTGCTGTGTGATACTCTGAATGCTCCAAAGCGCTTCCCTTATCTATGAAGTCACTTCCACAGAGAAGTAGAAAGGTGCTGCCAGCAAAACTCACTGCCCACAGTGTCCATCCTCTGTAAAGGTCTCTGCTGCTCTACCGATCACCAAGATACCCAACACAGGGAACGATCGTACCTTTACTTGGACAGGGAAGAAACTTCTTTCTCACCTCCACTTCTTCATACACGGCCAGTGGTCCATGACGCCATCCAGGACCACGGGCCGCTCGGGAATGAGGTAATTGTCTCTGAAGTGCTCCAGCGAAGGACAGTGAAGGTGTGGAATCGCCTCCTCCGGCTGCACCGTGGGGGGCGGCGGGGGCCGCTCCGGCCGGACCCTCTGGAATGGACGTTCCCCCTCAACACGCGGCAGAGACCCCCGGGGAGGCTGGAGGCCGGGAAGGAGGGGGGGTTCGAGGCGGGTGACCCCGACGCGGGCGGTACCTGTGCGTGGGGCCGGTCCCGCGGCGCCATCTCGCGGGGCAGGCGCAGCTGCAGCGCGTGCACCAGGCGCGCCAGGACGTTGTCCAGGACGGCGGCACCGAGCAGGAGCCCCAGGTCGCAGAGGCGCACGGCGGCCCGCGGGCGGCCCGCGGCCACCTCGGCCAGCGCCCCGAAGAGGCAGCCGTAGGCGTAGACCTGCCGCCAGCCCTTGCCGACCTCCCTCCAAGGCACCGCGTTCAGCTTCTCCCAGGAATAGTCGCGCAGGACGTCACTGAGGCGCCCCAGCGCCGCCGCTGCCGCCGCGTCGGGCGGGCCCGGCTGGCTGTAGAGCAGCGCGCGGGCGCGCCGCAGCAGCGGCAGGACGCAGCCCTCCACCTCCCCGCTCAGCGCTAAGGTCAGCCCCTCCTCGGCGCAGGGAAGCAGCGCCCGCACCTCGGCCCACGGCGCGGGGCCGCCGCCCGCGCCCTCCGCGCCGCCGGCCGCCGCCATGGCCGCATCTGCGCTGGCGCCCGCGCGGCGGCGCTGCCGGGGCGGGCCGGGTGCGGGAGGAGCGTTGGCCTCGAGGGGCGGCGAGGCCAGGCCGGGTGGCGCGGCAGTCCCCGGTTTCGGCTCTGCCGTGCCGGGGTAGTTCTCTGTCTCGTACCGCAAAGCTCAGTCTCTGCAGTGTCACTCGCTCCCTTGACCAGCGAGCCCGCTGGAATTGACTGACTGGGACCGACGTTGCCGTTCTCAGTAAAGGGGAGCGCACAGAGTCGGGGAAGGTCCCGTTCTCTGATGAGGAGGTGGCTGCCTGCGCTCTGGAAGCAGTCACGCTGGAGCACGGGGAGATGCGCTGTTCCCTGCTGGACTTCTGTACTGGAAAGAAACGTCCCCGCTCGGGACCCCGCGTGTGCTCGAGGAGCCCGACCGGAGCCCAGCGCGGCCCCGAGCTCGTGTCCTCTCGCTGGCTCAGCTGCTCCGTGTTAATGTGCTCGGAATATGCACCTCAGCCTTCTAACGCACTGGGCACGGCATCATTCAGCCACGGCTAGCTTTGATAATGTGCCCTGGACGTGTTCTCAGGACTTAATACTTGACTACAAAGACAAAAAGTATTTCACTTAAAATTCAGCAACTGAGGAATATCTTAACATTGCGAACCAAAGTCTAAACCATCATAACAACAAATGAGGAATTTGTAGCTCATGAAAAAGTGTTACTTGGCCAGGCTTGAAATCTTCAGACGTGCAAAATCCTACATTTACAGACAAAGTTAAAATCATCACTTTTTGCACTGAGACACTCACTCCTCCTTGTCCATGCTTAGTCACTAGTGCTTTCCAAAAAAAAAATTAAAACGGTGTGAGTCTTCCTGTTGCTGCTGTGGGTGGCTCTCCCCCCACTCCCCAGATCTCCCCTTGGAAGGATCACTTCTGCTCTCACACTTCAGACTTGTGCATTGCTTATCACGCTGGCCCATCTATTCTCTGTCTTCTAACTGCCTTTCTCTTGGCACCATAAATTCCTCCTGTGACAGTGTGATTTTAGCACCTTCATTCAGAATTTTCTCCTCCTTGACTACTAAATGTTAAGATATGCTGCTGTAGGAGAAAGTATTTAACTGGCAAGGAGAATTTGTTAGACCCTGTGTTCAGTATTTGTAATTTATGATGCTAGCAAGTGTTATAGTCTTGTGCTTATGGACTGTCCAGTTTTTATTGCAATTTATATTAACTTTGATATTTGTATTTAAGTTGATTAATACAATTCTCATCAAATAGTAGTTTTCCTAGTTTAAATATTAATTATATTTTCACAAATTGTGCTTTGAAGATTATGACTTTCTGTCTGGTATTTAAAATAACACCAAGTTCTGAACATGTACGCCAGTACAGTGGTGAGGCATTGAGGCCACGATGAGCTTTATCAGTTTTACTGTAGGTGAAGAACCAAATGGGAGTAGATGTTAGTTTTTGGTTATTTAGGCAGGCTTAGTGTTCCTCTTTGAGCATACACTGGAAGACAATTATTTCTAGTCAGTCAGATTTTGGTACAGTGGTTTGAACGTTGATACAGCATCAGTAGTCTTGAAAGGGCTGTATGTCTGCTGAGCTAATGAAGACTAGTAAGGTGTGTACTGAGTATTGTATTGTGTCTGGCCTTTAGTCTAGGAGGAAAATCCTCTAAAAGCTCATAATATCATGCTGCATCACAGTAACTTGGTTGAAATTATCTTTATTTGGAAAAAACCCAACAGATTTGCAAATGCTGAATTGGGAAGTTTTGCTCTCAGAGCAGTTAACCTCAGAGTAATACATGCTAATTTTGAAATGCCTGTAAACTACTGCAGAGATTTTGTGTCAACTATCTGACCAACAAAGTGGACGATTTCAGTGCTGGACATTTCCATTTTAAGTCAACAAGAGAGAATTTAATTCCTGCTGCCAAGGAACAAAGATTATTATCTATTTAACCTGCAGGAATTGACATAAAAGAGTTCTGTGGATTATGCCACCATCACTGAAGCTTGTGCTGTTTTGATCAGAAGTAATTTTTTTTAAGATTGTGGAAGCCAAATTGCCTTACCTTGCAGAAAGATGTCCCTTTTAAAACACAGAAGAAAAGTTGGTACCAAGGTTTTCTCTGCTGTTTCCTGGGTTTTAGTTAGCACTTTTTCTTCTCCCTTATATTCTGTTTATTTTGTAAATATGCTCCAGGCAGCTCACTTTCTCCTAGCACTGACATTCAGAAAGAAATTACCTATTAAAAAACCCCCAAACAAACAGGCACACAATTAAGGGAGATAATAAAGTCTGATAAACCATCTGTATTTCTCTCTTCTGTTTACAGTTATAGATTCCAGGACCCACAGTTGATGTTACCTTGTCTGCCAGTGGTGGGAAAGTGATTAGTTATACCAGATATTTTTTAAAAAATGCTCTGTGTCTTATCTTGCCTTTGTCTTCATTGGAAAGGTGTTTGGCCTGTTCATAATTTAATTTCTTATTTGTAGCAATATTCTCCTTTATAGCGCTCTTTCCTCATTTGCTAATTGGAATGAATGAACAAAGTCCTTTGATTGGTTTTGGATTTTATTAAAATGACATCAAGACACATGCTCAATGTTTCACCACTTGAGTCCAAAGTAGAATGTTTTTACTAGGTGGATGAGTTTTTAAAATGACAACATCTGCTAGCTTGTACACATTTATTTATGATTCTTCCCCAGGCGAGTATAGCAGGAGTCTGGTGAGTAATAACCAGCTGTTGGAATTAGCAAATGGGGAAAGCAGTTATTTGATCTGTGAAGGAGTGTGAGAACTGAGGCCAGGAGTAATAAAAACTAAACAGATGCCCCAAATACATAAATCCAAGTCAGGATGTTTAAATTGCTTGCACTGCTTATGGGCAAAATTGTGTCCAGTGGGCTGCCTTGTCTGGATTTTTTATTGAAGATGAAACTGTCTCCAGTGCCACATCATGTCCAGCAATCCCAAGCGCCCTGGGTCTGGTTCCAGCATCTCTGCTTGCTTGTTCAGCGTCAGCAATGCACAGGCACAGCAGCTCTCTGGGGGCTTCTTCAGTGGCCTCTCTGACAGATGATCAGAGTGGGCAAAAAGGAATCTGAGTGTGAGGAAACTGCTGTTGGACAGTCTCACATCCCAGTTGTGCTGTGACCAGGTCCTCTCTTTTACCCTTATGAGGTCTGTACTTACAGAGTAATTTCTTGGACAGTCACTGCAGGAGCACAACAGTAACGCTGAAGGTATTGTGAGAAATATCTCTAATTAAAATTTTGAAGACGGTCAAATAAAGTGAAAGAAAGAACTTTAATTACAACGCGTTGGATGCATCGGCAAGTCCCAGCACAGCGAGAATGGGAGGGACAAGTCCTTTTAAGGTTTCTTGATTTACATAACCGTGCCCTCGCTCCTCCCACGGCGAGCCCCGCTCGTTTTCTTCTTTAAAAGGTGATACAGCCCCTCTTCTTGGATTCGATTGGGTCTCAGGGCCGGCTCGCACTTCCCTTTGCCAGTCCATTGGTTGTCTTACCTGACCTATCAGGTTTTTTCCCTGTCCCGGCCGCGTGGTCTCTCGGCAATGAGCCCTGGCTGGTGTCATTGTCTGACCGGCTTCCTGGCTGGCCTCCATACTGTAACTATAGGCGACAGCAATAAGTAACGGCAAACAGCAGTAAGTAAGCAGCAGTAGCTGCAAGCAGACTTTTAGTCCCTGATAACTAAATGACTCTCCAACCCCCCAAACAATACAGCTTCCAGGCATCCTGACATGAGTCAACCATGGAAACTCCTGCTTGTAATAAAACCGCCTTATTTATTTCTCACAGTGTTCCTTCTGCTCAGGGCTTTAGGATGCTGCTCAGCTCCTCAGGAATGCCATGTCCCTTTTGGCAGCCTGGCACTTTGGAATTAATACGCTCCCTAAAGGAAGGATGCCAAGAAGATGGAGTCAGGCACTTCTCAGTGGTACCCAACAATAGGGCAAGAGGCGGTGGGCACAAGCTGATGCACAGGAAGTCCCACCTGAAGAACTTTCCTACACAGTGACCGTGCACTGAACAGGCTACACAGAGAGGGTGTGGCATGTCCCTCACTAGAGATATTCCAGAACTGTTCGGATGCAATCCTGTGCCATGTGCTCTAGGATGACCTTGCGTGAGCAGGGAGGTTGGACCAGAGTACCCATTTGTGGTCCCTTCCAACCTGAACCATTCTGTGATTCTGGACCAGGGGAAGTGGTCTATTTCCTTGTTTCCTGGGCTTTCTGAATGCCTGGGTGTATGCCTTCACTGGTCATCGCAGCAGCAGAGAAGTGCCTGTCAGTGTTGGCAGTGGCCACGGGCAAGGATGGAGTGGGGACAGGCTGCCCTGCCCCCTGTGCCTTAGCCTGTTTCTGCTTCCAGGAGTGGTTGACTGGTGCATTCCTTGGGCAATACACTCATTTAATATCTCCCCTACATCTCACCCCCACCTCCCTGCAAAAAAAAAGCTAAAAAAGTGAAAATGGGAGCTAACATGCCCTCTAGCCCTTAAATGGGAGTATAAATTGACAGCTGCTATGAAAGCCATGGCTGGCTCTGATTTTCCTTTACAGGGAATGAATGGTTGTCTCCCCTTCTGCAAAAACAGAAGTACAAACACATAAGGCTTTAAAGACTTTGGATGTCTTTCCTGGCTGCTTTTTCTGCTCCTCTGAACAGGAGATGAATGAATCTGATTAATAATATGTACAGAATTAATTGTTATACATAATTTTCCTCAGATAAACAATATCTTCCTGCTTGAGAGTGACACAGCCATGCATTTTGATGGCATCTTGGAGCTGAGTGTAATTGTGCAACGACAGTGTAATGACGGATATGTCTTTAACAACCTGTTCCCTGCATTGTGTTTTTATCACTGCCATCTGCTTGGCCAAAAGTGGCAGCTGCCAGGTCTCACAGATAATACTGTCATGTACTTTAATGTAGAACAACATATTGTTGTAATTTTTCTGGTATTACTAGATGAAATAACTT